GGGGAGAAGTGACCGAGGGGGTTGCGCAGCCGTAGTCGTGTGTATCGACAGGCCCGTGATCGAAATAACTTTGTTGCGGGCAATTTCTCTATCTAGGTAAGACGCTCTCGAGATTTTCACAAAGAGCCGCTCGCCACCGCGTGGCTACTGGCCTTTCCAGGCGAACGCCTGGCTGCGCTAAATTTAGCTCCCTCTTTACCCGAGTTCCGCGCATCCGCCCCCCCTCCCCCCCCCACACACTCCGCCCCCCTCCCGGTAGCCTCCACGCTATTGGAAAATTCTGAACTAGTTATTTTAAATGTACAGCTGAATTCTTTGGTTATTGGAACGGAGCTCGACCGCAGAGTCAGAGTCCAATTTATTTATGCCGGTCTCGTGCAGCTTTTCCGTCTGCCGGCTAATGGCCGTAAAGCCGGGACTTTTCCCCGGCTGCGAAAAGTCGCCATAAACTTCGATTAGCGTCAATGGATTCTTTCGCTCGCTCTCTCCTTCGGTCAGCAATGCTTGTCGCCGCCGTGCGGAGTCAATTCGCCGGTCCGCGTTGTTGCGACTTGACCTTCATGTTTCTCAGCCCAGCGGCTTGGGAGGCTGGTTATTTGTGCTTATCTAACGAGTAATACAGTGGCGCCAACAGCGGCCACTGCTGCCTGTTTTTTCCTCGGTTTCGTTCTCGCGCTCGGCGTGAATGGGACACCTTGAAATCGGCACGTTTCCCACTTCGTTTGGCACCCTAATTCATCGCCAGCTCCGGTTGTATAATTCTGCTTTAAAAGCTTCTTGGCACGCTTCGATTGATAAATTCCCCCCGCGCTAGCGCGCGGCACAGCTATGTAAAGCCAAAACTTATCAGAAGTACACCCTCGCTACGGCTGCAGTAAACGGCCACTGGGCTTTTCGCAAAAACTTGGAGCGAAGCGTCAGCGCGAGCCCGCGGAGTCCAAACCCAAATTCTAGCCGGAGCACGGAAGAGGAAGTTAGTCTGTCGCGAGGGCGTAACAATATCGCTGAATAATGCAGGGAGCCGTGCAGTTTATAAGAGGGCAAAAATGCCCCGAGCCTAACAACTGCGTCCATTACCAAGTTTGCGTCGCGCGCGAAACTTGGCGCGCGAAACTTCCATTCTCGTATTTCAATTCCATTCAATCTCGCGCGAGCCGAACGTTCATTAAGTGCGCCAGGTATTAAGCTATTACAAAAGCGAACCGAGCGTCGCGGCCCAAGCTATTTCATCTTTTATGCATAAGCGAGAGACTAAGCGGCAATCTAGTATCGCGGAAAAAAGAGAAAGGAAAAAAAAAAACTTGAATTCGAATTTCGCCTTGAACTTTCCGGACTTTCTCGCAAGCGCTGAGCTCCGGTTGCGTCGGCTTTTCAAACTAGATTAGACGAAGTTCCGTCGACTTTATTCACTTTTGATCTGCTGAAAAATTCATTCTCGTTTACACCGGCAAACAACTAATCCGATTCTGCTTGTTAACCAACAGAGCTTGTTTGCCATCGTTATTATTTCGATCGAGCGGAATGATAGTTTATTTACGCAAGTATTCGCCCTTGAAAGTGCAATCTGGCGTCGGGATAAACGGAGGAACGGCGCGGTCTGATTTGAGCGCAAAGTCAATCGGGAATTCAATTATAATCAGAAAAAGAGCTGGGCGTCGGAGGTGCGCTCGGCAAGACAAACATTCGCGGAAAGGATGGCGGGGCAATTGGGCCTTTGCAGCCCGTCGCAGCGTGACGGGGTATTACCGATGTAAATTGTTTGCAAACTAAGCGGCGTCACGGTCTCGCTGGCTTGCCAGACCCACGCAGCTTCTCGCCAGCCTGGCGACTGGCGCATTAATCGCGGAGATTAACCGTGGGTATGTTCACGAGAGAGGGACTAGGAACGCAAGTTACACAGCGCGGCATAGCAGAGCCGGGGGTGCCCCGAAAGGCAAAGCCGAGGAAAGTAGAGATGCCGGCATCTCTTGTTGGCGCTTAACCCCGGCGTCAGCCTTGCTCGCGAACCGGCCAAAGGAGAGGCACGCGCGCGCATTTCCGCGGAGACCTTCAGCTCGCTGGCGCTGCTCCGTTAGGGCGTGGATTCCCCTCGCTCGGTCGATCGGATCGCGGGCCCCGTCGAGGGAGGCGCACGGCTACGGCGGTTCCATGCCCCAAACGCTGCGATTTCGATGGGCCCCGCGCTCCCGCCAAGCCAAACACCCGATCGAACTAGGCGTTTATTGCGAAGGCCGGCGTTGAGCAGCACCGCGACGGCGCGTTCGCTCTAAAAGTCCATGTTCATCGGCGTGCGCGCGGCGACGTTTTAATTTGCACCTACGATCGCTATAATCCGTCAGCGTCACTGGTTTTTTATCAGCCGGGCTGCGTTCGAATGTACAGTAAAGGCAAAATCGATCCGCGCTCGATGTTCGCCAGCAGCGCAGTAGCCTGTTAATCCAATTTGAAGTATCGAGCGGGAGAGGGAGAGAGAACGAGAGAGAAAGGAAGGGGGGGGGGGGGGGTGAGAGCGCAGGAGGTAGATTGATCAAGTAGGTATAGCAGGAACGAAGACGAATGGAAAGTTGGCGAGGTCAATTGTCGCCGGCGAACACTTTATCGCCGAAGACGACGACAAAGCTTGTCTCGGGTCGATGCCTTCGCCGGCGGCGCATGGAATTGTCAGGCACGCAGCGGCAACAGCAGCGGCAGAGGCGGCGACGGGGGGATTAAGCCACGAAGGAATGCGACGAGTTCTCCTTTATCTCATCATCCCGGCGGTGCTGCTGGTGGCGGCGGTGCTGGCATCTCTCGCGGGACGACGCGCAGACATTTTCTCCGTTTTGCGATTCGATTTCCGCCGATATTGCTTTGGCCTCAGAAATGTTCCATTCGCCTCCGGAGAGCTAGATATTCTCCCTCTCTCTCTCCCTCTCAATTTACCGCGCACTAATATCGGTTATTGGTTCTCCTTTTGTGCGTGCGCGGATAATTCGCGGCGGGCTCGCGCGCCGATCGATTGCCAGCTTCCGTCGGCGTTACGTTAACGTCGCGCCAAAACAAGGCTCGAAGAACCGAGCGAAACAGCGAAAAACAGCCGGCGAACGGCGAGCCCCGCTATTGAAAATCGATCGGCGAGAACGCGCGAGAATTATATGGGCGACGCCGCACTAATGCGACTGGAGCTTTGCCCCCCCCCCCCCCCCCCCCCCCCCCGCCGCGCAATTACGCAACTGGAATTGACCTGGCGCTCGGCCGTTAATTAAATCGATGCGAGGGAAGGCGAGCCGACACCGGGGCACAGCCCGCGGGATAGCGACTTTGTGCCCGATCAGCCGGTCCTGGGCGGGCGCGAGTGGCGCTCACAGTGCTAGCCCGTGACTCGAGCGAGGCCTCCGATTAATTGCGCGCGGGCATTATCGTCGGCCGCCAGCGCGACGTCGCCCGGCAGTCGGAATTAGTGGCGCACGCAGCCACGGCCAGCGCCATTGTTCCCCGCCAGCTCGCGACCGCCGGGCGATAAGGCCGCTCTCGGGCCGTCCCTTTTACCTCCTCTCTCGCGTTCGACTCCCGAGCGACCGAGATACGGATTTTATTAGCACCACCTGCGGCCCCATTGTTTCGCGCGAACTTGCTATCGCCGCGGCGAAAGTTGCCGAGTAGTGCGCGCCGCCGTGGCCGGAGTCCGCATGCGGCGCGCTCCCGCAAACGTCCTTATCCTCGCCGCGTGCGCTTTAATGAGAACGCCAGGGGCAGGTCGTGCCCCGTTATCTGCGCGCGAGCCGCGGGCAACGCGTCGTTTTCGCGGCCAGGAGAGGAATAGCCGGCGTCATTGGCCCGTCTGGGCGTGGCGTGGCGCTTCTCGTCCGCGGCCGATCGTCGCGGCCGTGGAAAGGCAGAGTCGCGCGCGCCAGCGCGGAAAAACGCGGCGGCCACGCGCCGCGAGCAGGTGGTGCTGCTCGGATCCGCCCGCGCGCGCTTCTTATCGCTTCATGCATTATGCACCGGCGCACTCGTCGCTGCCGCGGCGTTGCACCGCGCGCGCCCAGCAATCCTGCACGCTCGCGCACACGCCGGCGGACTCTCATTTTTCCAGGGTAACGCCATGTTTATTCGGCGAGCTACAGCTGCACCCGTCGGCTCGCTCGTGATACATGCGATGCGCGTTTTATGCTCCAGCTGCCGCGGCGGCTGCTCTTTCTCTCCCCCCGCCCGCCGAAAAATGCTGCGAGAGCGAATACCCCTGGCGCATAAATGGCACATAAAGCGTCGTTGCGCCCCAGCTTACGCTCGAACTCGCGAGAAGACTGACGTTTCAACTGTCCGCGGGCGGCGGAAGCTCGGTTGATCGATAAATCGCAGCCGCAGGCTCGAGTCGCGAAATTGGAAAAATCGCGCGCGCAGGGAGAGAAGGTCGCCTCGCTCGGCGGCCCGTCCATCCGCGGGAGTACCGCGTCCCTGCATTTTTCCGTTCGACGCGCTCGGCCGACAAAGAGCAGCGCGCGGCTCCGGCAAATTGGTGGCCGATCGAGGGGAGGAAGGCAGGGAAGGAGGGAGGGTCCGGCGCGCGGCAGTGGCAGCAGCAGCAGCAGCGGCAGTAACAGCAGCAGCTAGACACTTGTCGTGGAAGAGGAGAGCCCGGCGACGCGCGCTCGTAAAACCGCAAATGCGATTCCGCCTCCGCGTCGTCGTCGTCGTCCTCCCCCTCCCTGCCGCGGGCGCCGCTGCTGGTGCGAGTGCCGCAGACAGATAGCGCCGGAAATAAAGCTCGAGACTAGTTGGGCCATTTGAATAATCCCGCGAATCGATGTCTGCGCTCGCTGCTGCGTCGGATTTCTTTTTGCCTCGACGCCGCTGCCGTTCGCTGAATGTTAACGAGGCTCTTTAGCGGAACGGCGGCGGCGGCGGAGAGGCGGGCAGCCGACGAAAGCTCTCGCGGCTGTTCTTTGACGAGCGAACGTCGGCGCGCGAGCCTTGCCTGGACGTTGTTGGTAAACGTGCGGCTGCTGTGCCTGTTGCAGGACGAGGAGTGGTGCTGGACAGCCAGGGCCCGGTGCTGACGTCGGAGCCGCGGAGCTCGGTGGAGTTCTCCAACGACACCGGGGCGATGGTGCACTGCTCGGCCAGCGGCAGTCCGATGCCGCGCATCGACTGGCTGATGGGCGACGGCTCACCGGTGCTGCCCATCCCCAACATACGCGAGATGCTCGTCAACGGGTCCATGTACTTCGTGCCGTTCGGCGCCGAAAACTACCGGCACGACGTGCACTCGGCCGTCTACAGGTGCCAGGCCTCCAACAGCGTGGGACGAGCTCTCGGCCGCGAGGTCGCCGTCAAAGCAGGTCAGTCCCTAGCCACAGAGCGCGTCGCTCGGCGACGACCCGAGCTGCGACGACGCGACGAGCTGCCGATATGTTGCAGTTGTGCGGCAGAAGTACGAGGTGCAGGTGCGCGACGCCTACGTGCTCTCCGGCAACACGGGAGTGCTCCGCTGCGAGATCCCGGCCTTCGTCAAGGAGTACGTCTCGGTGACGTCCTGGGTGCAGGACTCGGCCTACAACATCTACCCGACCCCGGACAGCGGTAAGCACGATGGCCGCCTCTCTCGGAGCCGACGGAGACCGCAATGCGAATTGCACTTGTCATCGGGGCGAGGCCGCCGCGCTCCATTCTATTCGAGCTCGTGCGCCGCGTATGTGCGCTCGGCAGCTTTGTCTCCGGTCCCCTTTGTCCGCCGCTATGCTGGCCGCCGGCTGTGGGCGCGACTCCAGCTGCGGGGCTCTCGATAAGTCACTCCTTCGTCGCGTCGTCGGCCGCGTTCCCCGCTGGAATCTGTTCGATCGCGCACCCGTCGGCGTCGTCACGACTCCTCGCGAGGGGCCACGGTGGACAAACTCCGACCACCACGTAGTCGTGCGCTGTACGTGCGATTTCATTGTATTTTACTGTTCGAGGGGCCAGAGTGCCGTTCCGTGTATCGCGCCGCGGCAGGATGATATATGGCGCTGAAATTTTAAATGCACAGCGGAGATTGACATTACGCTCCGATGTTTTAACGGCGGCGGCGCGCGAATGCGGCGACTACTGCGATAAACGATCGTCATCATCGTTACTCCATCGGTTATTCCATCGGGCTGGCTGTCGCGTTCCGCCGAGGTGAAAACGAAAGCCTATCCGGGACGACGTCGCGCGTTATCCAATTTTTGTAATGCGCCGCGCTGATCGAGTTCCTCGCTCGCGCGGGCGTAGTTAATGCTCGCGCGTCATTAATCAACGATTAAACAGTAATGGGAGCAATTAAGCTCGAATGCGTTTTCGGAACGGCGGCGGCTGCGGCGGCACGACGACGCGGACGCGGTCGACGACGCGATTACGCCGGAGACAAATGGCCGGCGAGCCGACTTGTATTTCATAATTATCGACGCACTCTTCGGTCATTTTCATCATAGTCGCGTTAGTCGCGTCGTGCGAAATTGGAAGGAAAAAGCCACGCGACCGGGGTAATCAATCAGCCCCTCGCCCCCGCCGCCGCGGCAATAACCACGAGCGTTTTCAATTATCCGAATCAATACACGGCCTGAAAAGCGAAGGGGAGGGTAGAGAGAGAGAGAGAGAGAGAGAGAGAGAAAGCGAGCCACGCTGGAAAAGACGCTTACGTCGACTAAACAGTAGGAACAATGTTGGCGGCTGCAGAGAGAGATGCTGGTGCTGCACGTACGGTCTGGCGCACTGGTCGATAAATTAAAAATTCATCGTCGGAAATAAAAGTCAAAACGCTGAGTAAGACAACATACGGAGCGAGCGTCGCTATAGACCGGCGGCAGGCGAGCAGGGATATTCTCCGCGCACAGTCGGACGCTCGGCAGAGTCGCGCTCGTTCGCGCGGAAAATAGATAGGAAAGCTCGGCGGAATCGATAAGCGTTTTCTTTCGACGTAATGCGCGGCAAAGTCGCGCAGACAGCCACCGCCGCAATTTCATACGAGATTTCACTTGCAATTAGATTCCGAGTCGCGAATCCGTCTGTCGACTGGCTAATGAAGATCGATAGCGCTCTCTTCTCCGTGGTTCGGCTGCGGTACTTGTTATTCCGAGGATCCCTGCCTGCCGCCGCCGCCGCCGCCGCCGCCGCCCCCTCCCGGCTGCCGCGAAGCGATCTAAATAAAGAAACAATACCGCCGCGAGGGAAGCTCGACGAGACTGCGCCACCGAGCCGAAGAAGAGGCTTAGCTGCGGCCTCGTTGGCCTGTGCTATTGAAATCATTTCAAAGCTCATTTACCGCGGCTTCTCTCTCCCTCTCTCTCTCTCTCTCTCCCTACTCCCCTTCTTTTCTTGCTTTCTTTCCAAAGAGCCTCGGATAGCCGCTATTGCTCTGGCTATTATTTACTTCGCTTCCTCCTCGTGCTGCCAAAGTCGACTGACAAGCCCCCCGCGCGAGTACTAATTGCACCCGATGCACGTTCCCTTGTCTGCCGACTGCTCTTCGAATTTCATTTGAAAATCACTCGTAGTTATGTCTCTTTAAAAGAAACCGGAGAAGAAGAAGAAAAAAAGAAAAAAGAAAAAAGAAAAAAGAAAAACGAGGCCATGCAGGCACAATGCGCGCGAGTGTGCGGCAAGTAGCGTGGAGCACAGAGGCGAAACAGCGCATGAAACTCGTCCGCAGCCGTACGCGAGACAAAAGCGCGCGAGAGACCTGCAGCCGCGGCAGCTCATTCGTGCCGACAAGCATGCGCACCGGGACAGGCTGCGATTGCGGACCCGTCTCGCGCGCGAGGCGGCATGGAAGGCGATCCCGCGCCACGAAAAATGCCGCGCCGCTCGAAGGGGAAAGAAAGCGAAGCCGGAAACTGTTGCGCTCGGCGACAATGCTGGCAGATTTCCGGCTTAGCGCGCGCGCGCCGAAAAGATAGAGGAGCTGCATAAATCCTCCCCCCGAATGAATTTATGTAATAGCGGTGTGCGAAGCGACCATAAATCAGAGACAGCCTCTGCTCGCCGTCCTCGTTTTTCCCCTCCCGATCCTCGGGTCCACGCGACTCCAGTCATTTCGGCTTTCTAACGAGTTAGCCGTCGGTACTCGGGCGCGACTGGACTCGCATGATAATTTCAATTTTATTTTGCCGGAAAGGGACTTTCAAAGTGGAATCCCTCACGCTGAGCCGAGAGCAATGGTTTTAGGTCTGTCCCCTTCTCCGTCGCTAAGGAGGCCAGGATTATAAGTTGGAATGAGCGAGAATTTCCCCGTTCGTTTTTTCCTTGCTAGTTCGCTTCCTTCCTCATGGCTCGCGATGGGTCTTAAAGGCTCGCCGACGTTCAATTAAAATTCTCGGCAGTCGTGTCGCCGAATTTCTCGCCGTGACTCGGGGGGCGATGACGCATCCGCCCGCGAGCCATCAGTATGCATGCAGAGGCCAGATTGGTATTCAAGTAGAGTAGCTCGAACATAGTCAGACGCGGATCCGCGAATTAACATATTGATGAATCGACGCGCGGTCGAATCCGATTTTGATCGGGCGTTAAAACCAACTTGTACGGGCAACGGGGCGCGGCCATGAATCGGCCATGAATCGCGACAAGTTTTTACGGCGGGAGGGGGCCAGGGAGACGAAATCCAGCCGAGAGGAGCATGACAGATCGCGGAGCGAGGCCGCGGCGACGGAGCGGATATTTCGGTCGTCGCCGCCATGGATGAGTATTTTTCTTCGGGCGCGCGAGAGCGAGGCCCCGATACTTCGGCGGCGCTGAAAACTGCTAACGCGATCATCTCTCGGCCGAGCCCGCGGTGCATTTGTCAGAACTTTAATTTATTACGTGCGTAAAATCCCGAGTGCGCGTGCCAAGCGCGAGAGTTGGCTCCTTTGAGGGGCCGGGGCAAAGAAAAAGTTTATTACCCTTCGCGAATACAGCCCAAGTTTTTAGCATAAAGCCACGCGCGCCCAAACTTTGCGCATATTTTTTCATATCTCGCGTCGCCGCGTGTACACCCGAGACAGATGCGCTTTTTGCGTGTTCGCAACAACTCCCGGGAGGCTCCGCTCTCCACCTTAATGCCTCGATACACCCTTCGCTTCTCTCCCGCCGCGCCACGTCCTCGCGATCGCGTTTAGATGAGACGGCGAGGCAGCGGCTGGCCGGAAACCAATCGGCGCGGACGTGGCGCTCGAGTCAGAAGTGTTACGCGACCCGTACGTACCTCGCGGCAATAAGGGTAATGAAGCCGCGGGTTTGCTCTGTTTTGCGCGTGCGCACGTGTGCGCACAGGCGCGCGTGCCCGCCGATTAAGCTGTCGAACAAAAGCTCGCTCTCGCGCGACTTCGCCCCGCGTATAATTAATTTTATAATTAAAATTTCGCGGCTGCTGGCGCTGCAGCGGCGCTATATTCCGCTGGCTTGCACTCTTTGACGGGCCGGGGAGGTGGCTCGCTTCGAGCTATCAAATTGTTTTATCTGGCCTGCTTACTGTGCCCCTTTGAAGGCTGCTCGAAAAATGGCGCTTTTGTTTGCGCGATTATTATTCGTCAGTCGTGCCACTTTTTCATCCGGCCCCCTGCGCCGGACCGACGAGATAGCCTCGCCGTACGCTTGTTGCAATAAATTTGACTGAACAATCGGACGCTGATATCCGGCTTCGAGAGGCCGCATAATAAATCAAGCGTGAAGCGAGGAGCCGCGCCACACTCTCCGGAGGAGCTTGATAAAATCACCGTAGCCGGGAGAGTTCGGCGTTTCCCGGCGAAATAACGCGCGCGGCCTCCTTTCTCCGTAAAACCCAACAAACGGCTCGTGTTGGCTTGCCCTCGGCCAGCGTCCCAAAAATCACAGTCGAAAATTCCCTCGGAGGAGAAAAAGGAGGGAAAAAACGCAGAGCGACCCTGCGCCCGACCGAACGGGAGCAGATATTTCCGGCCGCGATAAATCGGCTTTTAAGGGCCTCCACAGGTCCTCGCGGAAAGCCCGAGGCTCACAACTGATCGTTCCATTATACCGCGAGCTCGCCCTCGTTCTCGCCCCCCCTCCCCACCCCCTCTGTCCATCGTCTTTTCCCGTATTCGCGTATTTTTATCAACTAGATTTACATATTGTCCAGAGTAGCTTTCGAGTGGCAATTCCGCCTTTTAATTAAGCATACGCCGCCCGCGAACGGCACGATTTGTTTTATTTTTTTATTCTTTCTTCCTCTTTTTTTTTCCCACTATTTGCCGGAGCCTTTAAAAAAACGCATGTGAAAGCGATAATGCTTTGAAAAGGTTCTCAGCTATCTAGATCGCGTCCATATATTCGTAACAAAAGACCGCTTTGCACTTTGTTTGAGCTACGGTTAGCGTGATTATTTTACAAACAGACCTTTGAAAACGACTGCACCTGTAACTGGTTTTTTCGTTCGCGTGTCTCCCCCCCCCCCCCCCTCTTTCTCTCTCTCTCTCTCTCTCTCTCTCTCTCTCTCTCTCTCTCTCTCTCTCTCTCTATCTATCTGTCTTTTTTTGTTTCTACGTCGGTGGAAATTTAAAAATCGTCGGAATTATTTTTTCGGTGAAAAGTGTCACTTTGTCCGAACGGACGGATGAAATTGCTTTTGTGGAAAAATTGTTCAGTGAAAATTGGGATGATCGCGCAGCTGCGACATCCGCAGTAATCTTTTCAACCTTTCTCTCCAGTCTTCGAATTCAGCAGTTCCACTTTTGAATTCGAAATTGTCGAAATAACACGTGCCGTAGCGCGGGCCCGCGCGTTATTAGATGAGCGTCCGGCCGCGAAGGGAATTGGATCCGCGGGGAATTAAAAAAATATCGAAGGTGCTGAAATTCGCCGAGTTGGACGTCGGGCATTAAAAAGCGAGAGTAGAGACGACCGATCGGGTAGCGGAGAGCGTAGCAGTAGTCGGCGTGATCAGGCCGCGCATAAACAAGACAAAAGGTGGCATATCGCCGGTGGCGTGGCGCCACTAAAGCTGGCGAAAAGAGCGAGTAGTAAAAGCAGTCGTTGCGCGACTAAGAGCAACAATCAAGCCTGGCTTAACAAGCGTGCAGCGCGAATATAATATCTGCACCGCCATCCACGGTGTTTTCGCGGGGCGGCAAAGGGGAGAGAGGGCGAGCGAGCGGGAGACAATGCTCGGTAGTTAGGCGCGTCATTTATGCAAATGGCGTATATATGTATACGCGGCTACGTAGGTGGAGAGAGAGAGCGCGCGAGCGCGGTGGTGCGCGGTGGTGCGCGCGGAGGGAAGACGGCGAATGAGATCTGAGAGCGTTAAACTCGAATCGTCCATTGTTGCAGATGGCAAGTACCACATGCTGCCGACCGGCGAACTTCTGGTGTTCTCGGTAACTTCGGCGGACGCCCACGCCAGCTACCGCTGTCGCACTGTCCATCACGTCACCGGGAGCACAGTCGAAAGTTCCTCCTACGCTCATCTCGTCGTTACTGGTAAGTTGCGTACTCCGACACGGTTAAACTCTTACAAAGCAGTCCATTGGTCCGGAATTTCGCACCAACCGACCAGCGCCACTGTCAACTTGCCGATTCGCTCGAGCTTCGCTGACGTACACCATGGCTAAGCTAACTAAGCGACCCGCTAACTGCCACGTGGTCATTCGTTATATTCTAATTAAGACGTAACTTCACCTTGATTGAATCGAAGCTTCACATCTGTCTTCCACTTGATCCGACATACCCTGCAGGTGCATTGGTCATCGTTGCCTACTGTCGGACGAAACCTCGGACAAGTGCAATTAATCAACAGTTCAAATAGACGAGGTTTCACTTGAACTCGCCACTTTGTTTCAACCTCGACATAATGCATATATACGTTGCTTTGCTTGGGCTACTCAACCGGCAAAGCACTCGAGTTATATAATCTAATTAAATCGAAGAGAATATTAAACAAGGTTACGGGATAAAACTCGCGGCACAATGAAAATACATTTGTCAGCCGTACGACGCGACTATGCACAACAGGCGCTCGCGCGCTATTCGCAAGACGCCTGCTTGCGGAAATGAAGACGAATGCGAGAAACCGAGTTGCGATTAATGAGGCAGCCGTGCGTGCGCCAGAGAGACTTGAAAATGTGGCTTTGCTCCCGAGCGAGCAATTATTATGCGCGAGCTAACCGTATTTTCGCGTGCGCGCCCCCCATCCCTGTGCCCGCGTCGCGCTAACTTTCCCGTCGAGCGAATTACTAGTGTTTCAGCGCGGCTAAACCAGTTACTTTGTTTCGGCTACTGCGATTTCGGCTATTGCCAAATTTACTTACGCGCGCCACCTTCGCGCGGCTTTCCTGTCGCCGCAGTTATTCTCGGTAAAGGGGGCTACTGGCGATGCGCTGGCGTACACTCGAACGGGATCGGCTCTGGCTCGCAGTGCCGAGAATCGCCGCGGCGCCGACGCAGGGCAAGAGGCAGCTCGTTAAACTCGCTGGAAACAGCGCTCTGGGCTTTCTTGACTCGTTAACCGAAGGCCAATCAGTAGCCCGCCGCGCTTTCCCGAAGACAACTTTCCCGAAGGATCGCGAAAGTTGGTACCGTCGGTCGGACGCGACTAACTGCAGCGAAGCGCGAACGAGCGGCCGCCGGCGAGAACCCCGGGTGGCAGCTGTTTATAGAGATCGGCCACGGCTGTGCAAAACGACGCCCGAAAGGCCTGTAATGTGCCGGCTTGTAACGAACGCCGATTAAACGCCACGAGCACGCGACGCGCGCTTATAAACGGGGCGCGCGCTCGCCCGTCGTTCAACTCTGCGGCTTATCCGCGCTACGCGCGCGGCCTCTTGGCCAGACATTAATGTCTGCTCGCGCCTCGCCCCGTCGTTCGATATTCAATCGCTGGTTCCGCGCGACGCACCGTAAAGTCCCCTTTATCGTTACGAATGGCAACGGTGAATTAAAGCCACTTGGCCGAATGATAAATTTTCCACGGCGGCAAACTGCAGCGGTTTAAATCCAGCGGTATCGCTTGGCGCTGCATCCAAACGGCAGCGCGCCCCGGCTACTTTGCGAATATTTACTCAAGTTGGATTCGTTCGTACACCGATTTCGATTAGATACACGTGAGTCACGCTGCACCAAAATTCTTCTCAGTTCTCTCTCTCTCTCTCGCCTTGTTGACACTGCACGCGTGTATGTATCGATCGACTGTATACACAAATGCGCAATGCACCAGGTGCAGGGCGCTGCGAGCAATTTGGTTGAGCAGCAACTGTATTGCGAATATGCGGTTGTGCTTCCAGGCCGCCCATATGTCCAATTGGACGCCACGCGCTGATGGAAAATTAATCAGTTTTCTAGTTGCCGCACCTATGCGCACGGGCGAACAACCTAATTAATTTGCGGGCCGGGCCCGTTTCATCGGCTGCCAGACGCCAACTTTTAAATATCGATATAATTGTGTTATTGTCGTGCCGTTAGATTTTATCTCCTGCTGGGAATTTGCATTCCCGATTATTCAGCCGAGGACGAGGAAGAGAAAGAGATAGATAGATAGATAGAAGATCCTTTATAAAAAAGTAAAAATACACTCTTTAACAATACATATCACAAAATTTTGTCAAAGACCTATCGCAAGATTATTACGAATATGAATAAATAAAGTATTGTATAGATTTTCTCAGTCAGTAAAAAATAATTAAAAGTTATGAAAACATGTGAAATAGATAAATAGAGAAAATCAAGTCTAGAAACTTCATCACAGTTTAACAAGACTAGTACAATTTATTTTATTTTATAAGATGTAAGAAAAAAAGAAAATCAATGAAAACGAGCCATTCTCGCGGGATAGTCAAGAAAGTATCTACGCGCACCATTGCCGAAGGCAGCAAGAGACGGCGAATTTCGTAGCGAGGATGGGAGGGAATTCTATAGGCGAGTAAGGATCTAGATCCAGTCTTAGTTCTCACCTTGAGAATGTTGACCAGTGAAACCGGGTCTGCGAGCAGAGAAAATCTCAGCTAAATACTTGGATTCCCTCGTACGTGTAATTTTGTTCACAAGCAGGGCAATAAAACAGCTCCTGCGAGAATCAACGTGGAGCCAACCCAGTTGCTTCCGGTATGGGGTGATGTGCTCGTCTCTCCTAACACCAAAAAATTTACCGAGTACAGATGTTACTTAGTCTCCATCAATCCTCTACGCAACGTCAGTGCGGTATAAGGTCTAATAAAACGCAAACTATACAGCGCCTTACTGACCTTTTCTCTGACCTTGTCAATCTGCCGTCTCCATGTTAATTTACTATCCAGCGTGACACCAAGCCTGACAACCTCGTCACTAAAGGCAACGAAGACTCTATCCCGCAGCTCAACGCCTGGCAACCCCATACCTTTGATGGTATTGATGTTTCTTTGGAAGCCACAAATAATTGCCTTTGTTTTGTTGGTATTGAGACACAGACCAGAGCCCATCGTCCACTCGACCACAATCCGTGCCATTATGGACAGCTCGCAATGTTCTCTCGCAAGTCGTCTGCAGTATTATACAGATAAATCTGCAGGTCATCGGCATAAAACATGTATCTGACGTCTTGCAAGTTATTGATATATAAATGAAATAGTAGAGGTTCTAGAGTGGAACAGAGTGAGAGAGAGAGAGAGAGAGAAGGCAGACATAGAACGCGGCACAGTTTGCCTGCAACCGTGGCCAAGTTCAATCGGACATTCCGGCTTGCACTGGCGATCGCAAAATATAACTGAATTTTCGAGGACTCTCCGCGCGGATCGTTCGAAAGATGAATAATTCAAGGCGCGCGGCAATGTAAATGCGCGTCGATTGAAAGGAGGCAGCTTGACCGCCACGGCGATAGATCCTCAATTACGGCGAAATATCAAATTGGCCGAGCGCCTCGGCCATTAGTATTCGAAAAGAACAATACGTTGGCCGAGGGGGGAAGAAGAGAAACGAAGGGATCGAAGTAGCGTCGCCACGGACAATACTCTCGGGCCGAACAATGGTCTCGCCGGGCGGCGCACGGACGCGACCCATCAAGGAAACTCCGCAGGAGAAGTGGGAAAGAAGCGGCTAGCGCCACTTAATCGCGCGGTCATTAATTTTTATTGGACATCTATTATCATTTAGCCGCGTGAATCGAAGAAGCGAGAAAGGGGTCGCGCGCCGTGAAATATCCATCAACAAGCCGTCAGCCGGCGAGGCGCGAGCGCGAGGGGAGCAGCGCGGGCTTAAAAGTAATAAAGCCGGGGCGAGCGCAGAAAAGAAGTGGCCTCGGGGCGCCGGGGCAGAAAAAAGCAGGCGGCCGAAGACACGACGAGGCTGCGACGGCTCCCATCGCCAGCCACGCAAATGATAACGCTGTGAAAACAACGGCGGACTGATGAACCCTGCGCTTCGTTCCCGGGCCTCCGTTCCCCCGGCGCCTTCGAGATGAGCTACGAAGGCGAGGGCCGAGACGATCGTTAACGTCCTCGGCCCGCGGGCGAGACAAAGCGAATCGAGTTTATCGTCCGGTGAAAAATTTTCCCTTCGATGCCACGAGCGAAGGGCAGCTTCTCCCGGCGGCCAAACCGACCGAGTCTCGCGCCGGGAGGCGACGCAGCGACGCGTTGCACGCTCGTGACATCGGCGGCGCCCGGGATTCTCTCTTCGGATTCCGCGGAGTTCGCCGCCGCCAAATAATTCGTTCGCGCGCGTCGCTGGTGTCGTCGCCGCTGCCAGACTTGGCTTAATTACACGGGGCGCGACTGTTTTCAGCGCGGCCGCGAGAGCCCGAAAACGAATGCAATATGCCGCGACTAACGAGAGCGAAATTCGCAGGCTGAAAGGCCGCGAGCTGTTTTTTCAAAGCGGCGCGGCCTCGGCGCGTTTTCATGTCAAAGCGAGCGACGACTGCGGCTGATGAATAAACACGCGCGGTTATTATTATGGCTGCCTCGTCTTTGGAAAAAGCGGAGAGCGGATTCGCGGTCCCGGCGATGCAGCCGGCGGAGTCAGCGGGGGCGCGGCAACTTAATCAATTTGCGGCGAAGGGATGCGGCGGATTGTTCGATCGAAACGGAGCGGAAATTTCTTGCGTAACGCGATTGGGCTGATCGAAAGTTCGGCCGAGCGGAAGGGCTCGCAAGGGGGGAGCGAACGCCGAGCTGCACTTTTCGGAAAGTGGGGGAGGGGAGCGTGGAGCAGGCAAGTGAGAGATGGGCGACTGTTGCAGAGCACCGCAACCACGTGCCGCCCCGGTTCAACGAGCGCATGATCCCGGCGCCGGTGAAGACGGGCGAGACGATAGTGCTGTCGTGCATCTCGCAGGGGATCCCGCCGCCGACGTACCTGTGGTTCCGGGAGTCGCCGAGCTCGGGGCCCGAGATGATCGTCAGCTCGGAGCGGGTGCACGCGCGCGCCGGCGTGCTGGTGGTGCAGCAGGCGCGGCTCGACGACGCCGGGCGCTACGTGTGCCACGCCAACAACAGCGCCGGCTCCGAGAGGGTCGAGCTCGAGGTCTCCATCATCAGCAGCCTCAGCATCAGACTGGCCCCCGTGCAGGTGAGTTCGCCTCGTGGAGCTCTTCTGGAGCGCCGACCTGGCGGGCGTGAAAGCCAGGTGCGTTCGTTCGCCTTTCTTCGTCTTTCGCTTTTCTTTTCTTCCGATCCTTAAAGGGACAGCAGCCTCGCGATCCACCGGACACCCCCCTCCTCTCTCTTTCCTTTCTCTCTCTGTATTTCGTTCCACGTCATTACGATCACGCGGCTTTTTCCACTACTCCACAAACAGGCCCGTGGCTACAAAAGGTGGTTGGTGGTGCCATTAGAATCAGAATCAGAAAGAGACAGGGACGGCGGGGCCGCGACGGCGAGAGGAAAAAAGCGAGGGGAAAAAGGCGGGCGGATAGCGAGATTGCATCGTCGACGGAAATGAGAGTTTAGAGGCCGTGGCGGCCGGCGAATTAATCGGGTTCGAGTGGGCGCTGATAGAGGAAGCCCAATCAGACTGATGCACGCGCGTGCCCCCTTAATATCCCAGCGCCTGGCTCGCGCGCGAATTCGATTTCTGACCGCGGCATCGAAGCCCCGCTCGCGGTACACGAGCCGGCCAATCGATGCTCCGCGGCCAAGATACCTCAAAGCCATTATTGAAATTCCAGCCGCGGGCCGACTCCGAGGCGCGCGCACGTACGTTTCCGTGCATCGTCCGCCGCGCCGCGCACGTTTTCCGGCCTCCCGCGCGGGGAGCGTCGCGCCGGCTACGTCGACTCGTCGTCGTTCTCATCGGCGCGCCTTTCGCAGAAAACCGTGGACCTGGGCAAAGACGCCGAGTTCCAGTGCGCGGTGGAGGGCCAGCCGACGCCGACGATATCTTGGGCGAAGGACGCGCTGCCGATACGCGAGGGCAGCTCCGGGCGGACCAAGATGATCGGGCCGTCCGGCAGCGTGCTCCACGTGTCCTCCATCACCCGCGACGACAAGGGTATGTACCAGTGCTTCGCCAAGAACGACTACGAGATGGTCCAGGCGACTGCCGAACTGAGGCTTGGAGGTTAGTAACTGTCAGATTGATTTACTAGCGCTGGGTCGACCGAGCGCCGCGCTGCCCGTATAGTCGAAAGTCAATTTGGGCTGAACGCTGGCGCGAGCCCGCGCGCTCGGATAATCGAATGATTAAGCGGGGCCGTGACGACGAGTGACGCGGACCGACGCGTCAGTAGACCGGGCATCGCTCCAATTTTCACGTTCGGACGCACGCAAACTATAACGAGCCGTGACGGATCGCCAGCAACGTAATGACCTCTCGATCGGCCGGAGTTATTATTGCTCGCGAGCATGCCTCGCTCTCGCGCGATATTCCATCGGATTATCCGCGGGAGCGCGTCGGTCCGCGTCGGAGTGACAGCGCGATCGCCGGATGCCCCCGTGCGCTCGCCTATTTTTAATGGTCGCGGCGGAGAAAGAGAACCGGACAACGGATCGAAGGCCGGTCGTCGGCCAATCGATCGGCAAAGAGTGCGATGGCGCAGTGCAGCGGCCAGTGGGCGAGCGGCCTGATTTAGAGCCAGGCAAACTTAGCGCTGCGGTTTATTGTCGGCGGTACAATTTGGGGTTAATTCAGTGCTCCGGACGGCTGACGGGGGGGATGGGGGGGGGGGGGGTGGCTCGGGCCAGGCGAGGGCGTCAAACCACAGATCGATCGTTCCGCGAGCGAGCCGGCCTCCTGTGTACATACGGATGCGCTGGCAGCGGCTCTTGTCATGCAAATGTCGCGCCATGGCTCGGCCACCGCCGTTTCTGCATAATACCGGCCGCGCGTCCCTCCGCTGGAGAGCTCCTCTGGACCACCGGCGGCCATCCAGGCAGCTGCGGGCCCTCGGCCCGGCAGCGAGCGAGGCGCGCGATCCGGCGACGACCGAGCGGGAGGGGGCCGACGAGGCGAGATAATTGACGGCGCGCGGCCCGGCTAACTGCTAACACGCTACACGAGAGCGCCCTCTTACGTATTCAGATGCGGCGCCCCAACTAGTTTACAAGTTCATCGAGCAGACTATACAGCCGGGGCCGTCGGTGTCCCTCAAGTGCATCGCCACGGGTAATCCGACGCCCCACTTCACCTGGACCCTCGACGGCTTCCCGCTGCCACAGAACGACAGGTAGCTGCACACTTTCGCCTTGCTTACGGCGGGTCGCCTACACTCGCATATTCGCAGATTCATGATCGGCCAGTACGTGACCGTGCACGGCGACGTCATATCCCACGTGAACATCACGGCAGTGAGGGTCGAGGACGGAGGCGAGTACAGGTGCTCGGCCGTCAACAGGGTGGCGAAGGTGCATCACGGTGCCAGGCTCAATATCTACGGCCCGCCGCACGTCAGATCTATGGGCAACTACGCGGCTGTCGCCGGCGAGACGACCGTCATCAAGTGCCCTGTCGCTGGCTTTCCCATCTCGTCCATCACCTGGGAGAAGGGTTAGTCTGTCAACAGCCGCCGGCTTATATTTTCTCATTTTCCTAGAAATCCGATTGATCAGTGAATCGCTATTGATCGTCCGCAGTCGAGTTAACGTTCTATTGTACGTTAGCCGTGACTTTCCGTGGGGGGAAAAAAACATGAAACAAAATAAAAATGAGAGGATTCAAAAAAGTTAGTCGACGATAGGATTAGTAGTATAACTGTGTTTAAGCGTTCACCAAATAGTATAACAATATTTTTACGTTTCGTCGGACGCTGCGGTCGTGTGCTCAGTTGCTTTCGTTCGCGGCAAACTTTGAAAATGAAACTCGGCGACATACGAAACGCGTCAAAGCCAGAGCACAAGCCGGGGCTCAATCGAATGAGCAACGTATCGCAAGGGAGAAATTAGCCGACGCATCGATTGCTCGAGAGTCGAGGCGCGCTCGCCCACCCTATCCCAGCCCTAACTTTGGCCCTTTCTCGCGAAAGCGCTTTACGATGTTAAGCGCGAAAGAAAAAAGTTCGGCCGGAGGTGGAAAAGTATGCCGGCTCGTAGCTGTCCGTAATCGAATTCGCCGACTTTTCTCGCTGCCAGACGGTCAAGTTCTACCGACCAGTCGACGGCAAGAGGTATCCAGCAATGGCACTCTCATACTACATCAGGTGGACAGCAACACCGACAAGGGAGCCTACACGTGTACCGCCAGGAACCAGCAGGGCAGATTCGACTCGCAAACTGTTCAAATCGTCGTTAAAGGTGAGCTGACTCGGCTTATTTCCATTGACAAACCGTTCGACGATCGCCTTGCGGCTTGGCCAACCGATGCATTCTCGAACTGGCGCCCACTTTGCTTGAGCAGCACGAAGAAAGTGGGTCGCAGCTGTGAGGATGGATTGGCTTCTGAAAGTTGCATCTATATTCATGAATGTTTTGCAGCAATACAAAAATAATTGCCAGGGAGCAGGCGACGATATAAATAAAGTTATTATTTTCAGGAGCTGATGTCGACTGAACTCTTGTCATATTGCTAGAATAGTAGTGTCGATTGACCCTTTTGTACGGATCCGTCGTTAGTTAGTAACGCCTGACCGAATCCGCAGCACTTTCACTGATTCGCGGCGCGCGGACGCACAAAAGGGTCAGCGTGGAAAATAAGCCTTGCAATTTTTCAGTGCCCCCCAAAATAGAGCCGTTTGCCTTCCCGCAAAACATCCAGGCGGGCGCTCGGGTACACGTGACGTGCGTGGTGAGCGAAGGTGATCCGCCGGTTCACATTGCTTGGTTGAAGGACGGTCGTCCGCTGAAATCCCATTCGGATCTTGGCGTTGCGACGTCCAGCAGCGACGAGTTCGCGCTAGCGCTCAAGATCTCGAGTGCCACGCCCGCGCATAATGGGAACTACACCTGCCTCGCGAAAAATGACGCTGCTGTCGCTTCTCGCACTGCCAGCCTTCTTGTTCATGGTACGACTCTATCCGACCATCTCCGTCGAATTCGAGTATGGGAAACGGAGCTTTGATAAAATTGGCAGGAGAAAGCGATGAATCCGCGCATGCAAAAGCAGTTGCCCTGTACCGCAGGAAACATACGATAAAAGCATAGTCTTTAGTGTTCTCTTTTGCGGGCCGATTAAACGAGGAAAATAAACCATGAACCGCGAACATGGTGGAGCCCCCAAATATTCTCATCGTTGGAAGGAATAAAGAGTGCGGAAAGAAAAAAATTGCGGCTGTAGAAAGTGTTCGGAAAGCCGCAGAATCCACTATAATTAACAAACGCTAACCCTCGTGACTATCGCGAGCTCGCTTGCCCTTTCTCTCTCGCGCGGGTGGTTACACGCGAGCACGCCCTGGTATTAAAAAGACCGTGCGCGTGGCGTGCGCGAGAGAGCACAAAAGCCGAAAACACGACGGTGGGTCGCGAAGAAGAATAGGAGTCCGCGAGAGCGAGGCAATGGAAAACAAATCAAAACGCGTGGCTTTGTTTTTGGCCCGCTCCATGCCTCGTTTCTCCGCGTCACGTGTTGTGCCGACAAGCAAAAAGCGCGCCACGGCCCCCGATGGCCCGAGGCCTCGCCTCGGACGGCAATAATACACAACATCTTTTCCCGCAGTACACACTCACATCACAATATACTACACCACTGACACCAGCGAAGCTTTCTCCACAGTGCCGGCAGCAGCGCAGATCGTCGACGGTGCCTGGGCTTTCCTCTCGCAACGATAACAGTGTCGTGTGTGGCTAAACGAGTGGTTTGTGTGGTTGGTTGAGCGCAGTGCCGCCGCAGATCGCGCCGTTCCCGATAAACAAGGACCTGTCGGAGGGCGTGCGCGCCCAGGTGACATGCGTCATCGAGAAGGGGGACGCGCCCTTCTCCATTGGCTGGTCCAAGGACAACGAGCCGATCCCCAGCGCGGGCCGCTACGGCAGCCAGCAGCTCGCGGGCCTCAGGGTGACGAGCATCGACGCGCACTCCAGCACCATCGTCATCGAGCGGGTGACCGCCAATCACACGGGCAACTACACCTGCCACGCCAAGAACTCGGTCGCCGAGGTGTCGCGCACCGCCGAGCTCGTCGTTCGCGGTACGAGACCAGCCTGATCGAGCGAGCCTCAGCGCCTCTCTCGGCTCGCATTGCTGCTTGCCGCTCGCTTACTTTGCAAGCAGAGCCTTCGACTGCACTTGACGCACCTTTGTTACGCGCGCGCGCGCGGATCCATTGGCCGCATCGGTGATTTGTGATCGTCCAGAGCGCACAGGCACACCGACCACTGGCGGAGCAAACCAGTCCGGCGACCGACGGCACAGCTCTCTCTCTCTCTCTCTCTTACTCAATCTATCTGCTATTCACAAAGCACTCTGCACCCTCACCATGCACCTCACTATATATCTCTTTCTCGCTCGCTTTCACGATCATTACCGGCAACGCATACATAGCTCGCTGCGTGCTCTGTTTATGTGTCTGGCGCCGCCTGCAACTAAAACGCTCGCAGCTTTCATCCATTTCTTTTTTCTTTTTTCTTTTTACTTTTATTCGAGGATTACGGTTCACTCCCCCACCCACCTCCTTCCACTCCCTCCCTCTCCGTATTGTCCCAGCTTTATGCGCAGTCGACTAACCTTTTATTGGATTTGAGCTTTGAGCTTCAAATGAATGACATCTGCGTTCCGACAAAATTGCGATTTATATTTGTTTTTGTTTGATTTTTTCCAACATTGATTCGACTGGAGAGCGCGTGCCCGTGTTTTAATTGCCGGTAATAATTGATGACAGAGCACAACATTCTTTTTGATGCACCACACACGAAATCACTGGCACAATTATTCCACACTCACCTGTTTTGCTCACTGCGTTGTACGAAAATTTGACGAAAAAATAACACGAATATGATACTTATCAGCACAATCACAGTGCACCCGAATCAAAGAAATGTCTGCACAGCACTGATTTATCTGTTTCACGCTATGCGCAAATGGAGGACCGTTTCCCCCCTAAAAAAAGCGCCTTTTATTTTTATTCCTACATCGATCGCCGACAGTGGAAGCATCTAGCACGATCGAAATTGAAAACCCCCATCGGGTTGCACGTTCTCTATACCAATGAACCTTTTGACGCGCCCAAAATGGAAATTACCTCGACGCTCTAAATTGAACAGCATCCCGCGCGACAATTAGTAAAGCCCTAGAGCTTCCACTGTCCCAGCTGCAGACTCGAACGAGATCACTAATGTCAAATCAATTTTTATGCCCATTCGCGAACATTGCCGAACAACCAAAAAAACAAACAAACAAACAACGACTACGACGACGAAACGTGCAGTTCCGCCACGGTGGCTCACCGAACCACAAGACGTGCACGCACCGGAGCTCTCCAGACTGACACTCCACTGCCACGCGGATGGTTTTCCGCCGCCGTCGGTCACGTGGCGCAAGGCCAGTGGAAACAAGCCCGGCGACTACAAGGACATTACGGGTCACGATCACAGCCACGACAGTCCCAGGATACACTCCAACGGTTCGCTTGTGTTCGCTCGAGTTCAGGAGGATCACGAGGGCTTCTACTTGTGCGAGGCTGTCAATGGGATCGGGGCTGGCTTAAGCAAAGTCGTCTATCTCACCGTCAACGGTAAAACTCTGTTGATTGATGTGTCAGTTATTCTTTAGGCGAGATCCTCGCGAATTGAAAACGAGATGCAATGTTGCGTAAGGACTTTGACGAATCCACGCGCGCGAAACCAAGTGGGCTTGGGTCGCCGCCGAGAAACCGGGAAACCTTGAGAGATAATCCTCACTTTAACCTGAGAAGCGCGTATCCTCTGGCGAATTTTCATTGATGCCGAGGGGCGAGGAGCGCGTAAAGTTCTAATAATAAACTGGGCTTAGCTCCGGCGCACTTTACGGCGAAGCACGAGAACCGCACGGCGAGGCTGGGCTCGAACACCTCGTTGCGCTGCGAGGCCAAAGGCGACCAGCCGCTGAAGATAATTTGGCGAAAATCCGGCTCGGCCCTCGAGCCCGCGGTCACCGACTACCGCTACATGGTCAAAGAGGTCAACACGACCGACGGCGTCGCCTCGGTGCTGAGCCTGGTCGGCACCACCCGCGACGACAGCGGCAGGTACATCTGCATCGCCAATAACGCTTACGGACACGACGAGATGACGATACACCTGTACATCCAAGGTAAAGCTCCGGTCATCGAGATCTTGTCCCGAAGTAGTACTAGTCGATATCAGTCAGACGCTCTCATTGGCCGTTCACAGAGCCGCCCGATTTCCCGAGGAACCTGAGAGTCACGGAGAAGGGCAGCCGCTACATCAAACTCGGCTGGATATCGAGTCAAGACGGCAACAGCCCGATCATCCAGTACATCATCGAGTACAAAACGGAATCAGGTGAGAACTCGGCTCGTCTCCCCTTCGGCTCGTTTCACAAATGTCGGCCCGCCGTTTGCAGAGGTTTGGCACGACCACACGTTCCACACGACGGTGCCCGGCTCGCACTCGCACGCAGACATCAACGGACTGCGGCCCGCGGTCACATATCAGTTTCGCATCTTCGCCGAGAACGAGCTCGGCCGCAGCCAGCCCAGCGACGTACGTATACACAGGGACGACGCCCTTCGACTCGACTGGCGTTCAACGGAAACTTGGGGCTTTGCAGATCTTGGACGCGATGACTGACGGAGAGACGCCGGGAGGCCCGCCGAAGAACCTGAAGGTCGAGCCGGTGAGCTCGACCGAGCTGAAGGTGACGTGGGATCCGCCGGACGACGATCTGTGGAACGGCGAGATACTCGGCTACCACGTTGGATACAAGGAGCAGCGGTAACGGCGCGCTCGGGTCGCGACGCAGCGCGCACGCACGTAATCGATCGGCGCTTGCAGGCACGGAGCGGAGTACGTGTATCGCACGGTGGAGGGGCGCATCTCCACGGCGAGCATCGCGCTGGGCCTGGCGAGGACGGCGATACCGGGCCGCTCCTGCCAGCTGCTCAACTTGAAGAAGTACGCGCGGTACAGCATCGTCGTGCAGGCGTACAACGCCCTCGGCGCCGGCCCGATGACCCCCGAGATCCTGGCCACCACCCTCGAGGACGGTGAGTGCGATCGAGCGCGAGCGCGCGGCGGGGGCCCCCGTGCCGCAACTGCAATCCGATCTGGCGAGCAGTGCCGTCGAGTCCGCCGCAGGACATCCGCTGCACGGCGCTCACCTCGCAGAGCCTGCAAGTCTCCTGGGACCCGCCGCCGAACTCGAGTCTCAACGGCGTCCTCAAGGGCTACAAGGTCATGTACGAGAACATGGACGCGCTGACCGACACGACCAAGGTGGAGGCCAAGACCACCACGGCGCTCACCCTCACGCTGGGCAGTCTGGAGAAGCACACCAACTACTCGGTGCAGGTGGCGGCCTTCACGCGGGCGGGCGACGGCGTGGCCTCGGCGCCCCTCTACTGCGTCACCGAGGAGGACAAGCCCGAGATGCCGGCGGGCATCAAGGCGGTGGCCAGCTCCGCCACCTCGATCATCGTGTCGTGGCTGCCGCCGCTGCGCAGCAACGGCATCATCACCTCGTACAACGTGCACGTGCGCTCGGTGGGCCCCGACGGAAAGTGGTACAGGCGGGCGCTGCAGCCCCACGAGACCAGCTACGTGGCCGAGAACCTGCACAAGAAGAACCAGTACGAGTTCAACATCGCCGCGGTCACGTCGATGGGCGACGGCCCTCGGACCCCGTCCATCATCGTCTCGCCGTCCAGCGAAGGTAACCGAGCGCCGGCCGAAGGCCCGAGTCCTCCCTCGCCTCACCCGACGCGGCTTGTCCTCGTCGACAGTGCGAGCAGCGATATACTCGTTCGGCGAGACGCTGGTGGTGCCGTGGAAGCAGGACGTGCTGCTGCCGTGCAAGCGAGTAGGCAAGCCCGAGCCGACGGTCACGTGGAAGCAGTGGGGCCAGGTGATCAAGTTCGGCAGCTCCTCCAGGGTCACCCTCGAGAGCGACGGCTCGCTCTCGATCCGGGACCTGCACCGCGAGGACAGCGGCAACTACACGTGCTTCGTCGAGAACAGATACGGCTCCGACCAGATCACGCACCGGCTGACCGTGCAAGGTTCTTTTCGTTGATCGTTCCTTGCTGGGCGTTCCTCGCCTGACCGCCCAGTTCGCGCGGAAGACGGCCGATGCTGAGCGACGGTTGACTTGCAGTGCCGCCGGCCGCGCCGCTGCTCCACGCGACGAGCGCCACCAGCAACTCGATCAACGTGCAGTGGAAGAACGGCGACGACGGGGGCGCGCCGATCCGCGGCTACATCCTGCACTTCAAGCGCGAGTACGGCGAGTGGGAGGAGATCAAGCTGTCGCACAAGAGCAGCAGCCACCAGCTGTCGCAGCTGTGGTGCGGCACCGACTACCAGGTCTACTTGACGGCCTACAACCGGATCGGCATGGGCTCGCCGAGCGAGATCGTCAAGGCGACCACCGAGGGCTCCAAGCCCGACGACTCGCCCGCCAACGGCGACAAGTTCATCACCGTCAACGTCAGCTGGATCACCCTGCACCTGCACGCGTGGAACGACGGCGGCTGTCCCATCACCTACTTCGAGCTCGAGTACAAGAGAAGCGGCGAGGACCTGTGGACCTTGGTCTCCAACAACATCGAGGTGAGCGAGGCCTCTGCGCCGCCGGCCGACGGCCCGTGGCGACGAATCTCTGACGCTCGCCGCGTTGCCCAGGTCCAGAAGTCGTACACGCTGAGCGAGCTGCAGCCGGGCACGAGCTACGAGGTGCGGATCCGCGCGCACAACAACGCCGGCTCGTCGGTGGCCGAGTACAAGATCAGCACTCAGCAGCCGCACAGCAGCTCGACGGTCCCGGCCCTGGACGTCGACCGCTTCATACCCCAGCACACGCCCGTCTACGCGGACATGAAGCTGATCGTGCCGCTGGCGCTGAGCTCGTGCGCAGTGATCGTGGCCGCCGGGGCGGTCTTCTACTGCTTCCGAAAAAGTAAGCGCGACTGTACGTATTGTCCACGGGCCGAGCCCCGTAAGTCTATATTTGGGTAGCGCACTGTAGTCGAGCACGCGCGCGGCGCGCTCCGCGTCGTTCGGTCGACACCTGCACGCGAACCGCCGGCTAAAGCGAGTAGGCCAGTGCTCGAGCCAGCTGGACTGACCGTTCATTAACGTAGGGCCTTTGCTGGGTGACTTAGGGAACCTCCACGACGCGCAGACCGCCGCAGCCCTAGATAATAAGCAAAATATGGAGCAGCGGGAGCAGTACTACGCCACCGTGAGGAAGCCGCTGCGCTCGCCTATTCACGAGATGGGTACGTTGGAAAGGATACCAGGTAAACTCGCCGCTCACCGCTTCATCCACCGTTCTGGCCTCCCCCGTTCCTTTGTCGGTCTTCCTCCTCCTCCTCCTCGCTCCCCTTCCTCTCGTTCTCGTTTCGTCCTCGCGCGTATCTTGCCTTCCGTGGCCAAACGAGAGCACAAGGCGCTCGGTAGAAAAGCCGCGCGGCCACGGCTCGTATTCATCAGTCCCAACTCATCGATACTCGATCTGCGGGCGCCTCGTATAACGATGTACGCTTGGCGGTGCCGCTGCCCGCTGTGCTTTGCGCTCCGTTACAGAATACTCCGAGGACATCTACCCGTACGCGACCTTCCAACTGAAGGAGAGCGTCCCGAGCAACGACAGCCGATGCGACTCGGCCGCACCGCTGCAGACCTTCGTTTACCACGACCCCAGGCTCAGCGCCGCCGACACGCTCCAATTGAGAGAGGTAATTCTCCGTTTATACTTCGTTTTGCTCGTCCTTCTCATCTTTCGTTCGTTCCGTTTGTAAAAAGCCGCCGTTAGACCACGAGAAAGAGAGCAAGATCGGCCGGTTACGAGAATTCCATGCTTGCCGATTGCATGCTTCTTTACCCACTCCTCGGTTGTCCCGTGCTTTTTACTTTTGCTTTGCAGTTATTTTTCGTAGCCATGTGGATCGAATAGTTTCAGATAGAGCTGCAAGTCTATACTTTTTTGTTTCGTTACGACTGAAAGCTCTTTTTGTTGAAAAAAAAAATCAAATGCTAACTTTGAATATTTACTCAAACGCTTTATGGGCAATTGTTTAATTAGCTTCAATTAATGGACTCCAACCCCTCCACTTCTGTTAAGTGTTCGTTCTTTCGTCACACAAGACTAAGTAGAAGTCTTCGATAGTCTTGACAAAAGAGCCGCTGTTTCCAGTTCGTAGAAAAAAAAACAACGCAATGGTTGTTGCAACGAAAATACGAATCTCTGTAAATTTGCGGACAGATGTCTAAATGGTAGCAATCATTCGGGCACTGACCTCGAAACTTTTTGATCCGCTCTCGCAAACCCGCACGACGAGCATGATCCCCTGACACCGACACACACGCGTCACGCACAAAAGGCTTGGTAATAGAGAGAGAAAAAAAAGTATAGCAAAAAATATTGTAGCCGGCTGCTCTCTTTCTCTGTTCCGTTTGCATACCGAGGACATACATGCGCGTTTCCAGGGTACTCGTGAGGAAACTTCAAAGTCTCGAACCTGCGCCCACGTGTTCATTCATATACATTTGCGTCAAATCTGCCTCGACAATCACTCAGGTCCCGCAGTAGTAATAAAGATAACAACGTTGAAACGATAAAAAAGGCAGTTCTGATGTAACTATATTAATTTGATCCGTTAAAAAAGATGCTGGCGTGCGTGACATCATATCTCGAACCGAAAAAATGTACAACGCTGTTTCTTTTTTCGTATTTTTTTTCATTCTTTCCGTCTCTCTCTCTCTCTCTCTCTCTCTCTCTCTCTCTCTCTCTCTCTCTCTCTCTCTCTCTCTCTCTCTCTCTCTCTTCGCCTTTTTATCTTTGTCTGTCTGTCTGTCTCGGTCGCTGCGACTGCTGGTCCACTCCATCTGCTTCGATTCGCAGTACAGCTCAGTTTGTGTTTTGTAAAACCGGCAAAATCAATTGTACATACTACATTGCTGAATGATTTGTTCATACTTTTAAAGCACACTACATCTTAGCACGAGATTGAGATACATTTTTTTGAGTAGAGTTGATTATTCTCAATGAAGATTCTAAATTTCTTTCTAAGCTCAATTGGATTTTTCAGAAAAGCTTCGATTGAGCTTATTTTTTCTTTTGAAAAATCCGATTGACCATAAGTAGTAATTATTAGCGACGGTGGGCGTCGAAATTCCGAATGATCAACAAACAGCGAGCGAGCGAGCGATTTAGCACTGTTAGCCGCTACGTTGTAGTACGCGCTCTCCCGCGATTGATCGCAATAAACATCTTACAAGGGAGAAAGATCGAGAGAGTTTTGATCATTCGCAATTTGGTTAGTTAGCCTGGACGGCGCCTACCACTTGAAAACTACACGAGGCGCAGAAGCTGCGAGTCGCCTCTAGAGCTGACGAATGATAAATAACTGAGTGTGCAGCTGCGAGCGAGAAATGAGCGAAAAAGATGAAAGAAAAAAAAAAAAAATGAAAGAGTTCGGTGTTGATGTTTGCAGTCGGATTGCAACCGATACGCTAAGGTGCGCGGGGGCCGCTCGTCCTCTGCGCCGTTGCATAAAGCAGCGCACAAGACGAGTCAGGGCAAGTCCGAGTCGGAGGAGTACGACACCCTGGGCTCGGACAGCGACACGGAAGTCGGGACCAGCAGCCGAACCGAGTCCTCCAATCACCTCGTCGATTCCCATCACTCGGCCTCCGCCGCCGCCGATGCGCGCGTTCACAGTACGCATTTATCTCTCACTTTATCTCTCTCTCTCTCTCTCTCTCTCTCTCCCTGGCCTCTCCTCTAGTCACTTAGTTCCCTGATTGTTTGCCTATATTTTCTTAACTGCATCGCGTCGCGTCACGCTCAAGAGACGCCAATTGTCTCCGATTAACAGGAGGAAGCAGATCGGTCACGATCTCGGATCACTCGTGATCGTGAAGAATCAGAGGCTCATTGCTCGCTTTTTTTCGTCCGTATCTCTCGTCGCGTCGAAAGTGATTCGGGATCGATCGACCAGTGGCTTCCGTTGACTTTCATTTCTGCACGCTCCTGCGCTCTCGCGACTCTCTTTCTCTCTGCCTGTCTGCCCGACTCCGCAAGCACTTGTCGATGCTGAGTGTCAAAGATCCCTCGCTATAGCTAGTGCCCGGCCGAGCGACCGGGAGGCGTGGCGGCGTTCCTCATCAGCGTCCGCTTACTGTTCGCAGACTTCCTGTACCATGGACCAGAATCTAGCACGTCTACAGAACCCTCACCGATTTTTGAGAGAAAATCGTTTCCTGGAAGGGGACGACCCAAGTAAGTCCACTATCGCTATAGTCGAGAGAGCCAGACGGCCGAACTAACGCTGCGCGTTGCCGCTGGCGCCAGGATGCTACAGCTGGCGCGTGGTGCCGCCGAGGAGGCCCGGACAAACGGCGGCAGCGGCCTCCGGCAGCAGCAGCAGCAGCAGCTCGGGCCAGCAGCAACAGCTGGCCTTGCCAAGCACCAGTCGGCCCATGTCGCGGAGCGTGACGGACCAGGCCACAACATGTTCGTCCCCAAGCTGGATCCACCCCGGGGCTTCACCGACACGTTTGAACTGAGCGAGCCGCCCGACTGCGACCCGCTCCCGCCCGCCGCTAGGAACCTCCGCGATTTCGTCATCGCGGTGTAAATAAATGCGAACGAACGATCTCCTCGCGAGCGAGCGATCACTCGAGTAACACTGCACTGCCAGCGGCCAACGTCAGCGGCCGCTCTCCAATTCGAACCACGGCCAATCGCAGCAAACGCAATTTATCGATTACCCTATAATTGTACTTACAAAGACCTACGAATGCCTGCCTGAGCGCGTGAGTGTACAAATTAATACGCAGTTATTGATCTCGTTAGCCAAAGTATATAGATATGTAATGAGCGTGCGACAAAAATATTGAGACGACGTTTTTTCAAAAAAAAGAAATAAAAAACAAACAAAGACAAAACAAATTATCGTAATAATAATAATGAATAAAGCCAAACAACGTTGTCCTGTTGATATATCGTACACTTTATAATATATACATATTATATGGAAGATTACAAAAAAAAAACACAAAAAAACACAAAGAAATGATAAAAAAGTGATTGTTCGAACAATGAGACTCTTGCGTTTTCAAACGATTTTAAAGATTGTTTATATTCTATTTACTTTGTAAAATATACAAGACTTATTCAAAAACAGCCCTGTTGTTGTTCATTTCTATCCCATCCCTGTCGTTATTAAGGAATCATTAGGTTGAAGAATCAAATTAAAAACAATATGAGTAACAAATATTTGCGATTTTTATTTAATTCACTCACAGCAACTAAAAATGAAAGAAAAACGTAAATCAACTAAATCGGTTACATACATCTAAACATCGTATTACGCGTCTAGCTTGCTCTGACGTCACATAATTCACTTAATAAATTATTATAGCTATATTTCGGCAGCTATTATCTAATCGCTAAGTCCATAATCGGTTCTCGCCTGGCCGCTACCAAAACTTTCGCACGACGGCCAAGCTTGATAATACCATCAATTCTATACTGATAGTGTTCTCGGAACTTATTGAGGATCAAATGGTTCTCGTCCTCTCGCGTGCCTTGTATAAGCGAACAAAAACGAACACCGACGACACACCTCGTTTGTTCGACGGAATCTCCCATAAAAAAAACACTATCTACGAGCACAATACTGCCGTCGCTAATAAACACTCTCACACATACGAATTTCATTGAGTACATAGCACCAAATAGGGAAATAATGCTACTTTGAGAAATGCCGAAAAGCTTCGTCCAAGAATGGTCCGCGAAGAAGACTACGCGATAATAGTTTCTTTTTCTCTCTATCTCTGTCTCTCACGCAATCACACCACAGCTACACAGAAATACTCGCACGCGTTCTCTTTTGGGAATGAAGCGTCGCACGCAATGAAAAAGAAACGCAATTAGGAAAGGCGCCTGGTGGGCGCAAGCTGCTTACAAAAACTAGCTACGAATCAAAGTAAAAACGTCGTGGAAAGAGTTGGTCTTTTGTACAATGATTTTTACAGGAAACGCTCGAGAAAGACGCTCGCAATCAGCGGATTTTCGTCGTCACGGTCGCTCGATTACTTCAGCTGCTGAGCCGCGTTGGTAGCGGCAGCTTGCAGATCATGTTGTGCACCGGCATCGACAGCCAGCCGGCCACCAAGATGCCCACAGAGTCGGCCATCGAGGCGATACCCAAAGCTGCCTCCCGCTGCTCCCATGGAATCTGAAAGTTTTGTTTTTCCGTAATACAATTATTTTCAAGGAAAATATCTAGGGCAACGTAATGCGGACGTCAAGTCACGTCCATTGTCTTTTTATCCGCACAAATGAATCATTGTTCGCGCGCGATCTGCTGACGCTGGATTTGCTGCTCTGTGCGAGTCGATTCTCGCCAAAGAAACTCGGAAATAAAGTTATACAAAAACGTCTACCAGTACGATCGAGGAACGCGTCGAGAGTAAACAGCAATTTATTATTGACAACTGAATGGCAATGGATCTCTCGGGGATTTCGAAGCTTACCTTCTTGGTCATTTTGTAGAAGGTGTTGACGTAAGCGGCACCGCCGAGTAAGCCTTCCCAAAGAACAATGGCAAACACAATCCAAATACTCGGTATATAGTAATAAAGAGCCTCGAATGTCAATAGAAAAACGTTGACCAGCTGAAAGCGAAATCGTAGTTATTAGTTAGGTGGCGCGAGTTTATAGTGCGATACGCACGCGTGCTTGCTCACCTGCAGCACCGACATGACCCATATCTTGTCGATCGAGATGAAGTTGACGGACGATCGCGAGAAGAACACTCCGATTTGGTAGTCCACCTGCAGCCAACGGTACTGATCACAGTGGTTCAGGAAAATTCCGCGGAATTCAATGAGCTCGTACTGAAATCGAAAGGTTTGTGCGTGAGGTGTGCTTGTCTCGAAAGCGACCGACTGCGGATGCTAACCAGTCCCTGGTTGATGAAGTACTCGAAAAAGTAGACCAGTCCCAGAGGCACCATGTACGTGAGCAGCTTGGGCACCAGGGCGAGCTTCTGTCTCATGGTCATCTTGGGCGCGGCGATGATCTGCTCCTGGCTGCCGACGCCGTTGACGACCAGAGTCATGGTGGGCTCCGGATGCGTGAGCATTAGCCAGAAGGTCAGCGCTTGGGCGATCGGCACGACGAGCATCAGCAGCAGCGACTCGGACGGCGTCAGTTGGAGAAACTGCACGAGTCCGGCGTACGACAGGGCGCCGATTATGCCTGCTCCGCCGGTGCCTGACGACCATGTGGAGATCACGCTTCTGAAAAACCACCTTGTCGGTCAGCACCGAGGACCGACCTTTCGCCGCGAGCATGGATCCGCGTATCAATCTCGTGTAAACAAGAACGAAGGACACTCACTTGGTGTAACGGTGACTGTAACTGAGCATCGTCACTTCGCCCAGGCCGGACGAGAGAGATGTGACAATGACCCCGGTGATGGCGATCCAGGTGACCTTATTGCTTAGCGAGACCAGTAGAAAGCCCGCCGCCGAGAGCAACACGCATGTTCCCATCCGCGCGCTGCAAACAAGGGCAACAGCACCGCGATGCTTTAATTCTGAACTGTATATTGCGAGCTTCGACGCGCTTGCAATCTGTACGTGACAAGTATACGCATTGCAGCGCCTTACACACTATTCTTTTTTTTCCTTTTTTCTGTTTCTTTTTTTTTTCTTTTGCAAGGATGCAGAGAGCAAATTAATGTGAAAGTTTAGTTTGATTGACTCTAAGAGCGTCCCTGTCTAAGTTTCTAGCAACTCCCCTTGGGCAGGAAAACGATCACAGTTGATCTCTTACTGTTGAAATAAAGATCGAGAGATAATAAATCAGGAAACGGAAATGAATTTAAAAAGTAGATCGCTTTCTTGCCCAAAGGTGAGGATTAGGATGAGGTCTAGGTATGCAAAGTTAGTAACAAAAAAGTTTGGTTCCGAGCCGCTCAGAGTCTAATGATGCAGAAAAAAATGCAGATGAAAAGGAAAATCAATGAGCACTCTTAATGTGTGTGTGTGTGTGTGTGTGTGTGTGTGTGTGTGTGTGTGTGTGTGTGTGTGTGTGTGTGTGTGTGTGTGTGTGTGTGTGTGTGTGTGTGTTTATGTGTGTGTGTAAGAGAGAAGAGAGAGAGAGAGAGAGAGAGAGAGAGAGAGAGAGAGAGAGAGAAAAGAACGAAAAAAATGTAGTCACGTGTGACAGAGTAGCTCTTAATTAAATTATAAGATTACAAAAAATGTTGGATAGAAAGGTGCTGTACCTCGCGACGCGATGCGCAACCGCGATCACCTCGTCGCTACTCAATCCTATAAAACATACAGCAATAGTTAAATAGCTCACAGGTGCGCGTATGCCTCCGTAAGAATTATTTTTTATCATCACATATCACTTGGTCTTAATTCAGCTGATTAACGACCCGGTGACTGCGACAACGATATCACGGGCATCACACAATATAATCATCATCATCATCATCATCATCACAGATCAATCATCATCGCTTTCTATTCGGGCCATTAGCTTTTGCTCTGAAGCACAATGACAAAGGTATATATATTTATATATATATATATAAATAACATAGCATGAAAATGATTTATAATGAGAGATAAATTGAGTGGCTCTGGCCGTTCTTGAAGTGAGATTGTCGCGCACCCGAGCCCGCAGCCCGAGTCACCAAGGTCGCGAGCACGAGCGAGCCGACTTGCCGATAACAGCGTGCGTGCAATTTTCGCCGGGTGCCGCTGCTCGCTCGCTGAACGGCCGTCGGAAAGATCAATTCACCCTTCAGCCGCGGGAGCTTGCGGCTCGCTGCCCCGACGAATCCCACTCCGAGAAGCGCGCCAGGCAGATCTAGTTTACAGTTACGCTTACATGGACTTGTGGACAGATTCTGCAGAGACGCGTCATATGATTATGATTTGTACCACAGTTCCCTGTACTTGAAGAAGAAAAAAGTACATGTTTTTGTCATACATACAATTAAATGCCTGATTCGGTAATGGGGGGGGGGGGGGGGGCAATGGAGAACGCTAGATGCGATTCTATCGACGTTTTTATCTCTGATGCGAGTGTTTCAATGCTCCAGACAGTGACCTTAACGACTAACATGCACTCTGCAAACGTGTACGGTCGTCCATCTGCGACAGCTATTTGGTTTTTTTTTTCTCTCTCTCTTATTTTTATCAGCGACACATTAGGCCTGATTGTACTCGGTCACCGTTGCGTCACGAAGAAGAGCTTAGCGCGTTTCGCTGGTTGTCTCATTGTTGCTCTGACATTCGTGCATTAATGTGCCTTGACTTGCGTAGCAGTTCGTAATCGAGGCAACAGATGAAAAATCAACGTCCTAAATATCCTATCTTGAAGCTCATCAAGATTATATTCTTTATTTTTCGTATCTAATCGTAATCTCGAGCTCTTATATCGACGCGGTTACCTCGTCTCATTAAACGTGCAATTAAATGTTTGTTGTTCGTCTCTTTTTCGCGCCGAACAGCTGCAGTGGTCGTTATCGAATCAACACGCCGGACGAAAATATTTTTCTCACCATCTGCAGATGAATCAAACTTCGTTTGCCTGACTTTAACGGCATGACCCTCTTGATTTTCAGCTTGACTATTTATTTAAATGAACGAGGAGCGTACATGGATGTCTTATTACGCAATCCTTATCAAACGATTAACTTGTAACCACTACACATACATTGATCGCGATACAATTGTCATGTTCGAGTGGCTTTTAATTTGCCGACAGTCGCCGCGTATCGTTAACAAGTCAAGATATCTGCAACCGGAGTTTAATCAAAGAATGTAATCGAGTGTTACAATCTAACTTGACTGCATAGAGTAACTCGCGCTCACTCGAGAATGGAATAAAAAAAACAAAGACGAAGAGAGAGACGGAGAAGAGGCCTCCTCTTTGTACCAAATAGCCAAAGAACTATCTGACCGGTTTCACCGCAAACTTAAGCTCAACACGTGCACGTCGAGTAGAGAGAAAAGATACTTACTGTACTAAAAACGGCAGAAAGGGAGCGGTAAGTTTGATGATTACGCTCGGCACGATATCGGCCAGGAGTATCGCACCGGTAGACACCTCGTTGCACGTGCGCATCGTCTCGTTGGGTGCTGGACATGTGTAATTCTGAAAAATAAAAAGGACAAGCGAACGCAACATTTCAATCGGAGTCCTGTACTTTTTTCCTTTTTTTTTTTTTTTTTTTGTCACGACGCCTTCTCATCGCTTCGTTGCGCCAACGAGTCGCCGAGCGCGGCCGTAATCGAGGCAGCTTTTCCATAACAAAAAGGAATCTTATCGCTCGCTCGAAAACCAATTGGTTTGATGGTGATTTCTAGCGATCACTAATAAGCACTCGGAGGAATTCGAGACAAACAAAAGACGTTCGACGACGCGATGAGAAGAGATAACGAAAAAAAGCGGCGCAATCGGAACGTCGGCTTTGAAAAGGAAAGGAAAAAAAAAAGAAAAAACAAGTCGCTGAATCGGTAGGAAAGATGCTTTTCTTTCGGGAGTGAATCGCATTACAAAGATAGTCACTCGAGACGTCGTTGGCCGGATCCTCGAACACGAACGATATCGCGATGATGAGAAATTCGCGAGCTAAAAATACGCATCCGCGGCTATTCGGCTCGACTTTGGCGAGGCGGAGATAAAAGAGGCGCTCCCGAGCCCGGACCGCAGTGCGGAATTGATAATTCGGTCGCGGCGTTCGGCGGGGCCGCCGGGCGCTCTTCCGGAACTCGCGGTCGCGCAGCCTTCGGCACGATTCGTGTGCAACTGCAAAGCGAGCGGCCGAGCCGCGTTAATTCGACGTTTCGAGGCCGGGCCTCGTCGGGAATCACAGCGCAGCGACGTCGCCGCTAAATTATTTTCACGATGATTCTTTTGGTTTCCTTTTTTATCGAGCGATCGGCGACGCAGGATTGTCACCTGATGTTGCGAAAAAAATAGAGGTCAAGTTGGCAAAATTTTCGATGTAACAAATTCAAGGATATGAAAGTGCAGAAAACAGCAAATTTTGTAAAATATAAATTGCCGAACGAAATTTCAAAAAACTAAACTTGTTAGAAAAAAATTATTGAAATAAAAATGCTCACGTTCAAAAGCAGTCCTGTCATTGTTCATTAGCGCACAAAGCAAAGGCAATTGGCGGATAACAATCAGAACTGTCATGTTCTGGTTTCATTTGCGACGCGCAGCGCGAAAGCAACAATACTGCAGCTTTTAGGACAAAAACAATAGCGCGCGGCGGACCTTGAGCATTAGCTCGCCGCGGAATTCCTCGAGCTCGGCTCATAAAAAAAATATGAGGCGCGCATGCGAGGTGAGCCCGACGGCGGAGCGCCGCGCGCAATTAATATTCCAGAGCAATATATGCCGTTTTCCCGCGTCGTCGGCCACGCGCGCGCGCCTGTTCTTATCAAAATCAGCGATCACGTAAAGTCAGCGTCGCGTGCGGATTAGCCGCTCGCTCGCGGCGGTCAACGACACGCGCCACGCTCGCGAGCCGGCGTCGAGCGACGTCGTTGCAATTTGGCCGCGCGGGCCCGGCCCGACCTTGGCGCGCCGAGCCTCCTCCTCCGGCGATCGGCGGGCGCTCGGAAAATCGCGAGGCGAGGCGCGCGCGGGCGCCGGTCGTCGACGCTCTGGCATCCGCGGAATGAAAATTACCGCGGTAATTCCGGATTTCCCCGTGGCGGCTTCGAGATAATTGTTCGCGCGGCGTTGCCGGCACGTTTTTACGCGAGACGCGCACGGGAAAACCTCGCCCTTGAACGGATCGTAATCCGAGCGCCGAATGCGAATGGCACGATCGGCGCAAGGATAGCTCGCCAGTGAAAAGCCCGTAGTCCTTGCCGGCGTCGATTGGTATGCAGCGTATCCCTTCCGCGACGCGGAAGCCCTGCGCGCTTCATCCACGCTTCCTTCCCCCGCTCGGTCCGAGCGTAGCGTTCATCGCCTCCCAGCCGAGTTTTCACTCGACAAAGGAACGAGGCGGCCGTGGAAAGGAAAAGAAAAACCAAACAGAGTTCGAGATATCTATTTTTCCAGGCCGACGCGCCGACTGTTATTTACGCGCGAATTCTTCGAGTCGAGACGTCATTAAACACACATGTTTGCTGGGAGTCCGATAACAGATCGTCCCGAGTGGCATTTTATGCAAATGCTAGTTCGTCATTTGGTGAGAGTCGACAGTTGATGCGGGTGCACCGAGGCGAAGAAAATGCGCATAGAGAGGAGAAGCAAAACACTCCGGAAAGCGCCTGGAGAGCAACTGAAAAAACGTACGCTACCATCGCGGTTGGGCAACGCGACTCGTCGACTGTTTTCTGTCGGCGTGCGCACAAACTCTTATCCGAGCGCGGACGCGATAACGGACAACGTTGCACCATCGCGAGCGAGCAGACAGCGCGCCACGACGGCTCGAGGCAAACAGCCGCTACGGAAAACGGGAGGAGGAGCGGCATAGTCACAGGAGGAGCGGCATAGTCACCTTAGGATCGACAGCCTCCTCGTTGAGTATGTCGTGGGCGGCGCTGAGCATCACCACGTAGCCGTAGTTGTTGCAGAGGCCGAGCACCCAGAAGGCCATGAGGTTGCGCCAGGTATTGCGGGCGTCGCTGCCCACGTCCACGGCGAAGCCGTTCTTCGAGGTGGCCACGGCCTCGATGCTCTTCTTCTTGCCGGACATGCCGCAAAAGCCGCTGCTCAGGGACAGTAGAGTCCTATCGCTCTCCTTCGGTGGGCGCGCCAGCCAGCGACGACCGGAGAACAGACAATGAGACAGGCGCTTCGTGAGTCAGACAGCCCGCGAGCTTTTGGTCCTTGAACTAGCTAAGCGATTTGTAAACACGGCGGGTGTCCGCTCTCGTATCGCGAGTGTTGTCGTCGGCAGAGCGGCGTGCTCGCGCTTACTGTGTCACTGTGCCGTCCCCACTGACTGACGAACCGATAATGAGCGCCCTCAACGTGGCGCCTCATAGTTATAGCCGGCTCTCCCCGCCGTTCCCTCTTCCACTCTCGCTCTCTCTCTCTCTCTCTCTCTCTCGCTCTCTCTCTCTCTCTCGAGCGCGCACGCGCTCCGCCGCTGACCTTTGCACGTCGAGGGCTGCACGATCGTGTTTGCATATCGCGGTCGTTGACTAGCGCACCATGCCCGATCCTCCGACCGGTCACCGGTATTGTTGCTTCTCCGCGCTCTCTCTCTCTCTCTCTCTCTCTCTCTCTCTGCTTTTTATTCTCCCGACGAGCGACCCTGGGAGTCGCTCCCAACTAACCCGATCGTTTCGTTGCCTCGTGCACACTATAATAGACACTCGTCGGGGAATAAGTGGCGCGACCCACAGCGCGGCGCCGTCGTATTGCGTGCGCGCAATCGCCCGGAACAGCGCGAGCTGATCGATCCGAGTGGAAAATTAAGCGACGTACATCTCAGTCGTTCCGTCGCTTTCGTCAATCACGCGAGTCTCGTGCCCGCGACCGGCCATCTAGAACTTTCAAACGCCGTCGCCGCGCGTACGGCCGTTTAGCGCGCCCGGAAAGCTTCGATGGCCACGCGGAAAGATACTTTGGGATATATGCAGCCGTGCAAATATTGTGACTGGGAGTAGGCGCGCACAAAACAAACGAAAAGAAAAGAAAGAAGAAGAGCCGTAGAAGGTTATCAGGCGCGAGCTAATTCGACGCGGAAAGTGCACTCGCGAAGCCACGGCTTTCTGTGCATTCTCTCTCTCTCTCTCTCTCTCTCTCTCTCTCTCTCTCTCTCTCTCTCTCTCTCGATATAGGCACGCGCGACGAACGAACGACACAATCCAGCTCGGCACTGTCGAGCCGATACAATTGAGAGCGAAAGTTTGCTCTCGGCTTTCATCGATCGGCGCGGGCGCGAGCGTGCCGAGGAGGCGGAGGAGAAGGAGAACGAAAGGAGCGATCGCGCGCGGCAAATCGATCGGAAGCTTTGTGCCCTCGCAGCCTATCCGATGACGAGGTTCGCTGGCGAAATAAACGCAAGCTTGGAACAATGAGGCAACCCGATCCGGCGATGCGCTCGCGCTGTGGTATCGCTTTCAAAAGCACTTCGATGGCGAGCTCGAAACGGCGCGTCAGTAGGCTCTTTCGAGCAAGTTCTATGCGCGCGCGCGCACGGCCGGGCGGCTTACCTTTCGAGCCTCCGTTCAAATTCAAAGATACCGAGGCTGAGCGAGACGAGCCGTTTCGCGGAACGTCGGCGAGCGTTTTTTTTCACGAGCGCCTCGCGCGCGCGCGAATTAATATGTGGGGCACGCAGAAAGCCGAGAGAGCGGAAGGCGCGCTCGGCTGATTGGCCGCGGCGCCCCGACGTCGACGCCGGCTGTCGGACCCACCGATCGACGAGCACGCGATGCGATTCAAGGCGACGCGTGCATACCCACGGGACACGTGCTCGGGATCCACGGCTGCGACACTGACGGACTCGGCGGCGTAGACACGGCCACTGAGCGGCGACGGAGAGCGGAGAGGCCCGAGTTGCGTGGGCGCGTGTGAAAGCTCGCTCGGCAGTGCGAAGCTCTAAAAATAGTCCCGACGCCACGGCAGCTGCCCTTCTTTCGCGCTCGCATACCGACGCTCGTGCCCGCGCGATCAAGCGATTCGACTGCGGGACGCACGGGCTGCGATCCATGTTGTACCTTCGATTACGGACGCTATAAACACTCCCTGGAGCGAGGCGCGCGCGCGCGAATCTAATGGCAGTGACGATTGCCGCTGAACGCGAGATGCGGACTCGCTAATCGCAGCGACGGGATCGGCGCGCGACGAAAAAAGCGCAGCTGCGGCTCTCCCCGGGTCCGTTCCGCGCCAAGCGACGGACGCGCAATCGAGCACCCTTCGTTTCGCACAAGCTCCGATCGCGGACCCGCCGGCACACTTTGCACCACGCGCACGCGAGCTAATTTGCGCGACGTTCAGCCGACGAATATTTGATCGATCGCTATCTTTGGTATCTTGAGGATGCCAGGCCTTTTTTCGCACCCCCTCCCTCTTCCCCCATCCGCTCTGCCTCTCTTGCCACCCGGCGCGATCGCCAGTTCGGGCAAACTAATTGGCAACGCGTTACCGAGGCGATTATCGTCCTCGCGTGAACGACTTCGATCACGGGAATCGCCAATGTTTGCGCGACGGCGCGGATCTCGGTGCTTTTCGGCACTCTGTAGACAACGCGAACGCTAGCGAGATTCATGAATTTCGAGGACTGCAGCGGTGAAACAATGAACAGTCGCGAAATCGAACGTTTAATTGTCGCGATTTAACGTCCTGATTACACAGACTTCAATCATGTACAAGCGGAAATCTTATCCGTAAGCAAGTCCAAAAAATAAAAATAAGACGCACTTCTGCGACTTAATGTGTTTGGAATGTCAATTTTCAATCGAATCACCACTTTTCTAATAACAAATGCATGTTAAAATGTCACGAAAGAGTCCAATCGAACAGTAGCGTTTCTTAATTGACTTCAATACAAGAAGAAAAAAAGTCAAGAGACAGCGCCAACAAATAGAAATCACTTATCCGTATGAAAGCACATCGCTAACGGGATACATCCATGAGAATTCTCCATCGAGGCATGAATCGAGCACCGCGCGAAACATAACAGCTGTGCACAGTCGATGCTGCTGGCTTGCGTTCCAGAAAATAAAAAGCTACGAGATAAAGCTAAAATAATAAACAGGCGGCGAGTGAAAAAAAGAGGCGACGCAGGCGCCAAGGGGCTCGCTCGCATTCGTAAAACGTGCTTCGCATCAAAGGTCAGCTGTGTGGCGACGACTGAAATGGACGAAAAAACCGATAAGATAAGTAAGAGAACGACGAACGAAAATAGCAATGCGCGCACGTGGTTCGCGCCCGGAGCATCACCAGTGGAATAGAACCGACACTTGCATCATCAGTTTTGCATGTGCTAACGAGCGATGCTTACGATTGCCACAATCAGCCTTTCGAAAATTTTTAAGATGTCCCATAATTAGGACGAATTTCGGTGATTTTTCTTTTTGTTATTTTTATGGCGAATCTTCGTAATAACCGTTATAGAAATGGAAAATTCAAGCAACTTTGTACTTGGTAGCCACTAGTATAGACGGGGACGAAAAGATAAAAATCAACGATTGATCATTGTCGACCAAATGCGGCGGGGATTTTCTGGCCGTAAGGGCCATTACACCTGTTTATACCTGTTTAAATTACCGAACGGAGAGGGAAGATTTACCCGGGCATGTGCACTTTGTATAAGCCTGCGCGCCGGCGTCAGGGAAAACCCAGTGAAATGCCAAAGTGAAAAATTAGTGAGGAGATTTGCATAGGCTTTCGAATACCGACTGCTCCCCAATCGCAAGATCCGTGATAATTCCACGAGTTCCGGGCTTTGCGGCCACGCCGGATACTGTCTTGGGGAAAATTACGCGCGACGCCAAGCTATATGGATCAAAGCCGTTCGAAATTCGCGTACAAGTTAGCGCGCGAAAACATTCGAATTTTTTTTTTCTCCCTTTCAAAAATAGTGCACTTATTTGAATTGAATACATGCAAATGACATGATGTAATGTCAAATTTGATTTAGTTTGTACGCTCATCAGTTTTGTCGTCCGCTTTAATTTGATCGGCGACTTTTATCGTTATAAAAATATAAATATGCATGTGGTAGGAATATATTTACATTAGGATTTAAGCAGGTATAATCAATGCGACGTTATTCAGTTACAAAGAAGCTCTTTTGACTTTACGAGCAGTAACATTTGAAAATGCGTGCTAAGAAAATGAATAGAGATAACAAAATTTTCTTAGTGCAATAATGCGTCGTTTGCATCCAGAATGTTGTAAAAAACTAATTGTCAATAAACAGAAAAATGATCGATTACGATGAAACATCGAAATGTTTCATCACAATGGATCATTTTTGTATGATCATTATGATCATTCATGCATAAAGTTATACGATTGCCACAAGTATTAATATCTATTTTTAGAAATATGACCCTTTAAAATTTTATAAAAATAAAAATGCATGGAGAAAATAAAAAATATAATTTATTAGCAATTTCTTCGTTATCATAAAACTGAATTTTTGACAATTCAAGAAAAATTTTAAATTCAATAAAGTATGTGATAAGTGTAATTATTGTTTATAAAAATGAGATCATTAATTCTTTGATTCATTTGCAAGCAAGTTTGAAATAATACAGTCTTTTACAAGTTGCATTACAGACTATGTATAGACAATTGAAAATTTTGAAGGAATCAGAGTTCTTCATGGGAATATGAATCAGATTGACGAGGTTCATCCTTTGGAACCAATTTTACTAACTCAACAGTGAATATAAGTGTTGCATTTGGAGGTATTTTTGGCAATGCTCCAACAGATCCATATGCTAAATCTGGAGGTATAACTAGTTTTCTCTTCTCTCCTACGCACATTCTAAAATTGATCAAAAGTTATAAAAATGACTAAATTACTGACTTAGAGAAATTTATTTTGTGTTCTTCAATTTGAAGACTTTCAAAAGAAAAATTAATTTATACTATCAATTAAATAACTTTCTTGTAGTCATTACTATCATATAAAGTATTGTTTTATGTAAAAAGTTTATAGCAGATTCATGTCAAAAATTGGTGTGTCATTTCTGTTGACAATAAGCTAGTTGTTGGAGTCAGTAAGAATTGACCTACATGTCATTTGATAAACTGACAAATAAGAAAAGGCATTAAGTGGAACTTAACGTTAGCATGATTTTGATCATGGTTAAAAATGTTTAAAGTTTAATTAATTTAAAGAACAAAATATTTCAATCTTTTCATCTAATCTACTCAAATTAAAAAAAATGTTATTGACTTGTTAATAAATAAAATTTTTAAAAACTTGAGTTTTTTATTATGATAAAGTTCAAAAGACTAGACTACACCATACTGTTAAAAGTCCACTGACCTATTGATTTAAAAATTTTGACTAACATATCTACTCGAGAAAATAAAATTCTCTCATACTATCTGATTTTCACATTGCCTGCTTTTCAGATTACTTTGCATAAAAATAAAAGATGTCAACTTGATTTATTCCTTGTTATTATTTTAAAAAACAAAATCAAAATTAAAAAGCACTACTAAATATCAACAAGTCCTCAGATATGTACAATAACAAAGCAATAAACAAAATGAAAAGCACAAAAATACATTAATATAAAATTATGAAAAATTGTATAATAACCCCATTAAACCTTGATCCCATCCTTTGATAACTTGTCCAGAGCCTAGGGTTACAAGAAAGAAGTCCTCATAATTGGAACTCTTATCAAATTCGGAACCGTCTTCTAAAATTCCCTGTAAGAATAACACGTATTAACGAACAAGAAAAATACATATTCTAGGTAATTTCTAGAAAAATCTATTCAGGAATAATGAAAGTCAAATTAACATACCACGTAATTCACGAATAGGGTGTCACCCTTTTTAGACTTGAGGGTGCAGTTATCGACTCGCCTCTTAATACCTATTTGAAGCTTTTTCTTAGCAGCTAAGTTCTCAGAATCAACTAATATCAATAGTATAACTAAAAATGTCGAAAAAACAAGAATTTTCATCCTTCAGAGCACATTATTATCAGACTTTACTTCTAATATAAACGAATAAATACATTGCCTGGAGTAGACTCGCAGACGACAAGATTGGCATAACCTACTACGTTGATCTTGATACTAGCCACCTGCCAGATAACTATATAAACGTTCGATTCTCTTAAGCTCAGTGGGTAAAATAGATAGTGTAATTGAAAAAATATATCGCCGTTTGACAGTTACCTACTTGTATTAATTTTTTAATATAAACCATATAAATTTTTACGTTTCTACGTAATCACAAAGTATTTATAAAGCAGATGGTTTCAGTTACTCTACATAGTCTTAAAGGAACAAAGAAATATTTTAAAATGCGACTAAAATATACGTGAGGTTATAGTAAACAAATAAAAATGAATTGACTACTACTGTATTAAATTGAATCATATCGTTCATCTATTCAACCAAATCTTATGGGAAATAATTGATAACGAAATGGAAATCAGACAACTAAATAACGCAATTTCAATTTTGGATAGTACAATTTCTGAATTTCCAATTGGAGCTTCTACTCCAGATGATTTCAAACCAATAGAAGATAAAATAATTAATTTGAGAGAATCTCTAAGGGCACTGGATGCTAGAAGACTAACTGTTAATGCACAAATTGATTCAGGCAAAATATTATTATTATTATTATTATTATTATTATTATTATTATTATTATTATTATCATTATCATTATCATTATTTCTGTGTTAAAATTAAGGCAAGTTTATTATTGTTATTCCAGAAATGTTAGAAGATTTATCAGAGGGTGATCTCATTAGATCATTTGAACGTTTAAATGAGAATACTACAAATTACCTGATTAATTTTAAGACTTTAAAACTTTGTTATCAAAGTAAAGCAATACAAGATATTATATACAAAAACGAAGGATCTGAAGACATTCAACAGTATGTAAATTCCATAGAAAATATTTTTATATATGTATCAGTGATTATTATTTTGTTTCGTAAATAACAATTTTTTATTTCTAGAAGAGCTAAAGCATGTCTTAACCAGTTGTTTGCATTTAATGACAGATTAATAGCTAAAAATGAAAAGAAAAATCGACTCATGAAAAAACAGCATCAGCTGAGATTAGATTGCCATCAGGCAATATACAATCACCAAGATTATTTGAAAGAAAGAGAAGATAGGAGAAATCAACAACTTGAAAAAATGAATCCTGACATTGCTGAGTAAATTTCAATTTCATTTGATCACTGAATTTTACTATTAAAACAGTAATATTTAATTTTCATTATAGGTATAAGGATAAAATTAACAAGTCAATATTAAAAATCAATACTATGAAAAGACTTATAACAAATTTAATAGCAAGCATGTGTAAAAATTTGTATGAAAATGAGAATCTCATAGAAATGTTAGCTGAGCATAAAAAAATCATCAATTTTGATACAATCATTGAACTTACTCAGAGACAAAATTTATCAAATATTGATTCATAACTAGAATATTTAAAAATAAGAACATTGTTAGAACTATTTATTTTGTATACTAAATAAAAAAGTTTTTACTTAATAGTTTTCTAATTTTTCATTGCATATGCGCCGAGTTTTCCTTAAAGAGCCGTACATAGAAAGTTAATGATGCCAGATAAAATTTAATTAGCTATTATTAATATTTATTTGTCATTCACTTTAACCCGCAATTCCGGTCTTTTACAAAAGAACCTCCTACTCTTCTACGTTACGTCGCTCTACACGTTTAAAACAAAACAAAGACATTCATTTTTATCGGAATGTCGAAGGTTCGAACTCCGAACTTACTGCATAAAAAAGTGATTTGATTTTTTCGATAGCTTCAATCGTAAACAATTCTTGTTCAATTTTGATTGATCATTGCTCTAAAAATATAAAAAATGTCTGAGGAAATAACGTTAAACGTTCTAACACTCAACTGTTGGTAAGTGATTTATGCAAGGTTATGTTAAGTTGTCAATATCAGAATATACTTGTCAATCCTGTTTCATTTGTCTATTCAAAATTATGCTTATCAGTATTTCTTTTTAATCAAAACCTCTTCATTTTTACAAGCATTTTAAAATATTTTATACCATACTATTTGATGATTCTCAACAAAAGCAGCTATTGTTATGGTATTGTGTAATAATATTAACAAAATTTTAGGGGTATCCCATATGTATCGAAAAATCGCATTGATCGAATGAATGCCATTGCTGAAAGACTTAATGATGAAAATTATGATATAGTCTGTTTACAAGAAATTTGGTCTATTAATGATTTCCGTTTAATAAGATCAAGAACTCAAGAAAAACTACCTTACTCTCACTATTTTTTCAGGTATTAAGTTCATGTGGCTATCCGTAGATTAATTACATATCCATGGTAATTTCAAAGTTTGAGCATTTAATAATCTATAATTTCTTGTAGTGGTGTTGTTGGTTCAGGGGTTTGCATATATTCTCGATATGCAATTGAAGATGTAATGTTCCATAAATGGCCTTTAAATGGTTATGTCCATAAAGTTCAACATGGTGATTGGTTTGGTGGTAAAGGAGTTGGACTGTGTAGATTAAATGTTCAGAATTATAACGTTAATATTTATGTGGCTCATGTAAGTATTTATTTAAGAATTATAAAATTCAAATTATTATTTAATATCTAGCTTATAATTTTTTTATTTTTATCAGCTACATGCTGAGTATTGTAGAGAAAATGATGAATACAATGCTCATCGAGTTATGCAAGCCTTTGACACTGCTCAATTCATCAGGATGACTAAAGGTGGGGCTGATGCTGTGATATTAGGTGGAGATCTAAATACAGAGCCACAAGATTTAGCTTATAGAATAATTTGTGGAGTTGCTGGACTAACTGATACTTGTGCGAGAAGCTCTGACTGTTTGGGGACCAATGAGTGTGCCAAAAATAGTTATACTAGCTCAAATATATCAAGAAAATCTCCTCAAGGAAAGCGAATCGATTATATTTTATACATGGGCTCAAAAAAATGTCAAGTAAATCAGTCATCATGATTATTTATCATCCAATCCAATGAGTATTTGCAACTTTTATGAATATATTTCATTTCAGGTTGAAGTTAGTGATTTTCTTCATCCATTTCCAAGTAGAGTTCCAGATATGAATTTCAGCTATTCTGATCATGAGGCAATTATGGCCAGTTTAAAACTCAAGAAAGGTACACTATTTACAATTAGTTTAGAACAAAAGCTAGATGTAACCTATAAGTATTGAAAAAAAATATTCTTCAGGTTCTCAAAATGAAGCTGACAATATTGATGTAAGAGATTCTTTAAAAGAAGCTATGAGCATTTGTGAAGCAGCACTGTCAAATGTACAAAGACAACGAATATGGTATTTGTTGGCTAGCTTTGTTATAGTTATTCCTTTGTTACTCTCAATGGGTTTAGATTATCTTGTATCAAATATTGGCATTAGCATTGGATTCAATTTTTTAAGACTTTTATTAACAGCACTTTTATGTTACTCTTTGTTTATGAGTTCTTTATGGAATAAGTTAGAGCAAAATGCATTGAAAGCTGGGTGTTCTGCAATGGAAATTCATTTAATGAAGCTAAGTAATAACTATAATGGTCATGTCAGTCGCCACCAACCAACTCAGTTAATATAGCTCATTTAGACAGAATATTTGCCAAAAGTAAAATAAGAATTAAGAAATATCAATTTTGAATAACTATAAAATAATTTTTGCTTCCTGGTGACATTAAATTTTTAATCATGTTATATATTTTTGCGTAATTTTTCCTTTTTGATATTGTGTATTATTTGAATTATCCGATAGCTAAATATATTTGATTACTTTTCATTTCCAAAGATACATAATATTAAGAAAAAAATTAAAAAAGAAAATATTATTTTTTAATAAAAATATGAAATATGACTAATAAATAAATTAAAATATTCTAAATGAAATATATATATATATGATTAAAATTTAAATATATAATTAATAATTCAAGTTTAGATAATGTACATATATGTAGCTAGGATATTTCAACATTACTCTAAAGCTTTATGTGCATTTATAAATCTAGGTAAAAAAGAAATAACGTACTCATATTTTTCCAAAATTTTAAATTATTTTATTTATCAATTTATACATTCCTTTAAAACTGTTTCCTGTTTAAATATTTTATGTAGTAATAGTTGCAATTTTTAAATGAGTATATGTTAGAATATTTTGTTGTAAAATGATAGCACAATTGAAAAAATTATTATATAATTAATGTTATTTCAATAATATAATAATCTATGTACATAATTGACCAATAAAACTAAATTTGCAAGTTTAATAATTTATAGATTTAGTCACCTTGTAAAAATCCTATTCTACCGATAAGATGATTTTCTTTAAAATAAGCAATTGACTTCTGACAACAATTTCTAGAGTCTTGTACATATTATAAATGTATTTTATCGCGTTGCTTACAATCATCATACTTCAAAACACATTTTGTAAAAAATTGCATTTTGTGCAGCCCCCTCCCATAAAAAAAATTTAATTGTTTTAGTATTAATTTTATATGATATTACAGTTTTGTTACTTATAATCACACGCACGCACAAAAATGACTAGATAGAAAATTAAGTAGCAAATTTGATATTAAGAAAAAAACACAAAGAAAACGATTGTTTCGCTGATTAGTATAAAAGAATACAGTCAGATTTCCTAGAAGTTTGATTGTTCTCTTTCCCTCTGAGCTATGTATATCAAAACTATTCAATGTATTTTTAAGTTAATGATAAATTAAAACAAGAGTATCCTCATAACATAATGGTATGAAAATGGAACTGCATAAACATACAGTAGTACGCAAACTTTAGCAACTTATTTGAAGAATCTTGATTGTTATTAGCATTCGTTTTATTACGACTACTCAATAATAGTATTCGGTACACGGAGAAAAGCTTTGAGCTGCTGCGATTTTCAGTAAAGAGTCACGAGACAAGTCAAAGAAAAGCCGGCGTGATAGAGATAAAAGATGCGCGTGTGTCGACTGGAATGTGAGATGAGCGCAACGAGCAAAGCAGTTGTGGATGAAGCGAGGATGATCAGAGCGTACTGGAGTCGACGTCGAGGTAGTCGGAGCCTAGAGTGATGGTGATATTGAGGAGGGACTCGCCGGACTCGCAGGACTCTCCCTCGCTCCGCTGACGGATGCGCGTTCGCGTTGGTCCCTGATGGCAGTTCGTTTGGCTGTGGCCGTGCGACGTCACCGACCTGCGAATTCTCGCTAGAGTTGGCGCAAAGTTGGACTTGTCGATTGATTAGCGAAAGAACGAAGTACCGTCTGCGCAGGTCGTCGACGAGGCGCTTGACGTCGAGCTCAGCCCACTGCTTTTCATCGCTGCGGGGCTTCGGTTGCGACTGTGACTGGTCCTCCTTGACTGGCGAAGACTTGGACACGGAGAGACTCTGGTAGAACGACAGAAGTAGCTCCTTATCCGTCTGGATGGACAGAGTGCGCCTCTTGATGCTGCTGGTCCTGAAAACTGCAGATACAAAGTTCAGCTCGGACGAGCTTTCGCTCTAACCGCTCTCGACGATTTCGCTGAAGCAGGCATTTTGGCTTCGCGCGACGATCCGAAATGCAGCTGTCTCGACGAGCATAAGTATGGAATGTCGCAGCAAAATCGACGATGCTCGATGGACGGCAGTCGTACGGAAAGCCAATGAAGAGCGAGAGCTATACCAGAAGAGGAAGTCTCGGACTCGGAGATCCGATAGACCGCGCGCTTGGGCGCGGGTTCGGCGATGGCGGCAGCGACGCGCGCGCCGATGTGGCACCTGATGGACTTGCTGGTGGTGAAGTAGGCTCGGTTGTTGCGATCCGGCCGCAGCACTATGATGTAGAGCTTGGGCACGAAGAGGAAGACCAGGGTGACCGAGGCGCTGAGCGTCACGCACATGCACATGGTCAGCACCTTGGTTTCGCTGCCGAAGTAGATGGGCACGAAGGCGATCCAGATGACGCAGGTGGTGTACATGGCGAACCCGATGAACTTGGCCTCGTTGAAGTTCTCGGGCACGTTACGCGTCTTGACCGCGTACAGGGTGCACAGGCCGATGAGCAGCGCGTCGAAGGCCAGTGGCGACAGCACCGCGCGCGGCAGCGTCGGGCACGTGAGCACGGCCCGGTTGCGCGCCGGGAAGTCCAGCACCGGCACCGCAGGCTCCATCAGCAGCATCGCCGTCGCCACGGCCACCTCCATCGCGATCAGCGTCAGCGTGATCATGATCTGAAAGTGCACTCGTGAGAGACGTCCGCGAGGCGCTCCGACGAAGAGACGCGAGCGCGCCTACCTGGGCGGTGGCGGACATGAACAGGGGCTTCCGCTTGGGGAAGCGCTTCTTCGAACCGGCGAGTATGCGCGCGATCCGATTGGTCTTGGTGAAGAGGCTCGCGTAAATCATGGCGAAGCTGATGCCCGGCATGAGTCGGCTCAGCGTGCACGACGTGTGGCTGGGCTTCGCCAGGATCGCCAGCACCTGCGGACAGCGAAGAGCAGAGGGCAGCGTCGCTCATTACTTTGCCAGCGCCCCATATCGCGCGAGGCTTTCTCGTTAGCCGCCGGGCTGCCTTTTCAAATCGGCCGCATCGATCGTTCTTTTTTCTTTTCATCCTTTCGCCGTAGGGTTGCGCGCGCGCGCGCACGCGCCGTTTACGGACAGCGGGACACAGATATGGCCTACGTACGGATAGATGGGCGACGGCCATCCCGGCGAGGATGAGGTAGCTGAGCTCGCGCGTGCTGGCCTTGACGACGGGGGTGTCGTTGTGCCGGACGAAGATGTGGCAGGTGACGCAGGTGGCGAGCAGGCCGAGCGCCGCCGAGAACATGGCTATGATAGCCTCGGCGTCGCGCCACTGCGTGTGCTCCACGGGTATCACGTAGCAGGCTGCCGACACGCAGCGTGAAAAGAATGGCCTCGCGGTCGCGAGCCTCTCGAGGTCGCTGCTTACCAGTCTTGTTCCTGTTGGGCAGCTGCCCGTTAGGGCAGGGAATGCAGCCGGTCTGCTCCTCGTCGACGAGCTCCTCGTGGTCGCACGGCACGCAAGCCCAGCAGCATCGCTTCTCCTGGCCGCCGGTCTTGAAATTCTGCAAAGCGTCGGCTGACTGGAATGCGATCGAATCGAAAAGACCGCGGACGGGGGCTTGGCCCGCCCTCGGTGAACCCTTTTCGCGAGAATTCAATCGGCTGGCCTCCGGAGCATTACAACTTATTTCTCGTCAATTTATCTCGCTCGACTAGCCAGCCAGTGATTTTTCGTCCGAACGGAAAACACTCCAACTATTTGCACCTCCGATTAAAGCGGTCCCCGATGAAACTCAACTTCCGAAAAAAAAAAAAAAAAAAAAAAAAAAAAAAAAAAAAAAAAAAAACGTGTTGTAAATACAAAGTTGCCGGCTGATGAAAGAAAAACCAATAAAAATCAGGAGAGAGGCGCAAAAAAGCTACAACGGCCAATGACAATAAAGTTCGGCACCCCGCAGCGGCTCGAACAGAAACAACGTCGGCGCCCGTTCGATTACGGCGCCGCGGACACTCACCTTGTAATATCCGGGCGGGCAGGGCTTGGAGCAGACGCTCTCGACGAGTCGCGGGTGCCGTGACTGCGGCAGCCCGTTGAAGTTGAGCGTGCCGTTGTTCCACTCGCCGATTTGCACGTAAGCGTAGCTGCCGTTGGGCATCAGCTGGTAGTTCAAGATCTCGTACCTGCGACACACGTTTCGCGCTCATTCAGGTCCGATGATGCCCCGCGGATATCTGGTCCGACCGAGCTCATCGCGCGTGAAAACGCCAAGCCGAGATGCGCGCACCTCGGATCCGGATGAGTCGCGCCACGACTCGCTCCCGGCGTACCAGCTGGGCGGAGTACCAGCTGGGATATCGCGAATTCGTTAACGATGCTTATCGATCGCCACGCGCGTACGAGGCAAAAAAGGAAAATCAACTCCGCTCGCCTCTTGCGCCCTGCGCTTATTAGCTGATTTGCGCGGCCTACGCGCTCTCGAACGCGCGTATAGCCCGTGTCGAACGCGCGAGTATCGATCAGCGTGTGCGCGGCGAACAATCGGGCTCGCGGCCGCGATTCGTTAGCCAGCGAGGAAGTGCGAGGCGCGCCGTTTCGCTCGCAAAGTGCGACCCGCCGAGAAGCCTGGATCGGCCGAAAGTTCAGCGAACGCGGAGCCGAGAGGAGAAAGTCCGCCGCTGGCCAGATATTGAAATTCAATATTTGTAAGCGCGCGCACTGCCAGCGAGCAAAACTCCTAGGAAGTAATCGGGCCCTTTCGTCCTCCATTAAGGGTTTTTTTCTACGCCGGACGCGCGCGCCGGCTCTTTTCATTTTATTTTGTCTCGCGGCGCGCGTTCGGAACAAAACTGCGCGCGCGTATCCGCGTGAATAATACACGGTCTCTTCTGTGCTCAAAACCAAATCGTACGAACAGCTCGACGAAAGCTTTATAAAAAGTCAGTGGAAGAGAAAGATACGTAATCGGCTTGACTGAAAGCAGCAGTGCGCCGACGAAAGTACATAATAACGAAAGTGTAACGCGCGGCTCACGGACGATTTGAAAAAATTTGACAAAATAGAGCAGAAATAATCCGGTTGATCGGAAACTGGGAGACAGGAGTCGGTGGTGGCGCTGGCGGGAGGATTCTTGAAACAGACATACGCACCGACCTGCCCGGTGGATCCCCTCGGCGGTCGAATTCCACGAGATCCTCGCCAAAGTTGAAGGTGACGTTCATCAGGTGATTCTGACGGCCAGCAAACAAACATGAGTACAGCGGGGGGTTATAGGTCTCGCGTCCGCGGCGACGAGCGACTCACTCTGAAGTGCGTGCCGTTGAAGGGGAACATCTGCTTGCAGACGCCCACGTACTTGGGGCCGCAGATCTCCTCGAGCATGTTGTGCAGTCCGTAGGCCATCACCCAGAACGACTTCATCACGAAGCTCATCTTTGGATCCTGCTTGTGCTTCTCGTACGTGAGCCTCTCCTCGCCTGCGCACACGCGCATGCGGAAGCCTATTAAGCGCGTTGTTTATCGATGATGCGTATCGCGCGCAGCCGAAAGGAAGAAACCTCGCGGTGATTAACGGACACGGCAGCCCTGATCGAAATAAAAGCAGTCGCGGATAAACGATCAATTTTTCAGCGAGCGATAGAGAGAGAGAGAGAGAGAGAGAGAGAGAGAGAGATCTGGAACGAGTGCGAGCTCGTAAATTCAAAGGGTACACACGGGTGAGCGGCTGTGTAGGGGTGCAGCGAGTCGCGTGTAATTAGGCCAGCGCAGCAAAAGCCTTGTCAATATTTCGTTACGTAGCGATGATTAATTGAGCGACAGCGACACCGGCGCGAGCATTCGCTGGATCGGGGTGGGATTTGCGTTTGCTATCAATTACCGGCGAGAAATCAACATTTCGCGACGACGAAGACTACGACGACGACGACCGAAAACAACGATCAACGCCCCGGTTAGGCGGAGACAACCACTCGAATCCAGCTATTCGTCTTTGCGCCTCGTCACTGCGTAGAGCGTGCAATCGTCTTGATTGCGCGACGCCAGAAACGACGCTAGAGAGGTCATGGACAGGTCTTCTCGCGAGCCTCTCCCTTGTCCGCTTCATCCTGCTTGCCGTAGCCCGAGTGCCCTTGGCAAACGCCGCCGATTCGATTCCCGTGGCGCTGTCGTCGTGGGGAAGCAGCGATCGGTACGAGCTCGTTTCCTCGTTCTCATTTAGCTCGAATATCTCTCTCTCTCTCTCTCTCTCTCTCTCTCTCTCTCTCTCTCTCTCTGCCTCCGCAAAAAAGCGCAGCTTATGCACTTCGTGCAGTCGTAACGGAGGGCGCGTCTCCGTGCGTACGCGAACTTAATTTGCAGCCTCGTTTCGACGCGAGAACGACGCTCGGCCGGGCTTGCGAAAAAAAGCAAAGAATCGCACAGTCGAGTGACTCGCTGCCGCGGCTTTCTCGTGAAAAGCTCGCGTCGATCTACGGTCGCGGGAATAATGTCTTTTCTGCTTGTCTGCCCGGCTGAGCGATTATTTTCGAACGAGCGTTCCCGCGAGTAAACGTCGAGCCGCGTCTGTTGGATCAGCTGGATATGCGCGTGCACCGAAGGCATCGGCTGCTGCTGCCTAATCTATCAGCACCAGAGATGCCACGGCGAACGCGCGAGAGAGCCGGGTTTCGGGGATCGATGCATCCCTCGAGCGAACTGCGCCGGAATTCGTGCTTGAATTAGGAATATTGCGATTGTTTGGAGAGGCACCGAGAAAACTGGTGGGAGTGAGTCGGCAGCAGGCAGCTTCTTCGACCGGAGGATGCGATGCAATAACGGTGAACAATGGTCAGTCCAATCAGCGTTCGGCTTGCTTGATTGCGACGAGGAGGAAGGCGGCCAATTATAGCTCGGCGATGCTGGCAGCACTGCTGTCGCTGCTGCTGCTGCTGCATAACGCATGTCGCGGCTAATTAATTGAGCGCAGCTCACCTGCCGACCACTGATCCTTTGATTGTCGCCGCGCGCCGCTGGCCGAGAAGGGGAAATCGATCGCAGCCGCCCGCATGTAAATCGCTTCTTAAATATTTACCACCGGCCGCCCACCGCCCGTCGGTCGAAACTCGTGCTTCTCTGTCGCGCGCACTCCGCCGTCTACGCTGAGAGAGCGTCGGCGAGCTTTCGCCTTGCCGAGTGCTCCGCGAACGGCGAAACTTTGATTCGAGCTCGTCGCGAAAAATCGCCTTCCCGATGGAATATCGATGCTCGGAAAATGACCGTCGGCCAAACGGGATACAACAGCTAGCTCGTGGATAACGGCGCGCAACGATCGTTAATCGAGTGGGCACTGGAAACGCGCGCGCGCGCGGTCGAAAATCGAAGAGGCCAACGGCCGTCGATGCTCGCGCTTTCGACCCGGAGATACGATCAGCGCGGAAGAAAGCAGCAGCACCAGGGGTGCGGGATGGTAGACGTTATCGGGAGCGGGGCCGATAGGCAGGATATTGGAAGGTAGTCGCGCGGCGGGGAGGCAAAGCTCGCGATTGTCGCGGCGCGATGGGATTGCGGACTTCACGGGGAATTTGACGCGCCGCGCGAGGAAGCCGCATCAATTCGCTTTCTTGCTCGCCGAGCGCCGCTTTAACCGGGAAGTTATTAGCCGCGTGCACCAGGTGGTTCGTTAACGTAGCGCGCGTTTCGCTCCGCGGCGCAGCTATACGTCATATCGCGGCTCTCGATTGGCGGACCCGCGCTCCGTGACTTCGCTTTGCAATTGGAAGACTCGATCGCAAGCGGTACAAGCTGTCGCCTCGGTGCTCGGTGGACGGTCGTAAGAAGTCGCGTCGATAGGCGACGACGAACGAGGCGGGGAGACGTCATCGAAGTGGACGCAAAACGCGCATTTGCTTTTTGCCAAGCGAAAGTTCACCGTTCGATCCCACGCGCTCTAGCAACCAAGTACATTCGGCCTCGGCCAGGAAGCTCAAGTGGCGCGCGTCCTCGCGTGTACGAATGGGCCGACGGCCGCGCGTAACAGCGTGTGGAAAGCGAAAACGGCTCTTGACAGCAAAGAAAAGCTCGTTGTGTGGGCCGTCAGGATCGGATACGATACCTGTGCAATTGGGAAAGTTGGGGGGCAGCTTGTAGTTGGCGTCTTTGTCGGCTTCCCAGGGCAGGCTGCAGTTGAAGTTGAACTGCCAGAACTCGTTGAACCAAGGATTGCGGCTGTTGTTGTAGGGGTGCAGCGCGAGGTAGTAGGGATCGAAGTCCGTGACGTAGGGCGAGTGAATGCGTATCGAGAGGCTGCCCCAGGCTTCCGTCTCCAGGTCGTGTACCACGTCGTCTCGGTCGGCCCAGCCGTCGCTGTAACACACCGTCCAACTATCAACCACCGAGCGAACGCGACTACTCTAGTTTCGCTCGATCTCGGGATGGGTCATCGAAGGCTCGGATCGCGGAGCGATCACGTGGTCGAAACTCCGCGTCCGCGACGATGCGCGCGCTGTCCAAGCGGGAACGCGAGGAGACGAGTATCTTAATAATTCGGTGCTCGGAGCCGTGGCGCCCCACGACATCTCGACCAGCGATGTACGACAGAAACGCATCGAGGCAAAACGAGCTTATGCACTGCTGGCGATCGAATTCCATCGGAATAAGTCCCTGAAGACCGACGACGGCGGCCGAGTAGCGGCGCGCTGCACACTCCGAGCGCCACAACAGCCGGCTATCGCACACCGACGATACGTCAAATATGCAAAAGCTAGTAAGGTTTGTTTGCGAATTGCGCAGCCTCGCGCCTGCCGGAATGTTCGCGGATCGCGCGGCGAACGTCGTCAATTTGAAAATAACGATATCCAAGTGCGCCGCGCAGCTTGCTATTCGCGCGACGGGCTTTCGGCCGGTAGGCGCGCAACCGCGCGGCAACGATTGTCGACCGCTGGCGCGCACGTCGCTCGAGAGCCCGGCTTCAAATCGTAGCGCACAACCGCGCGTCCAAATCGATAAACACAGACGCACGGTGTCGGGACGCTCGCTCGACAATGGCTTTCATTTGGTGGCAGGAAGCATCTTGGCCGTGCGCGAGAATACGTAATCAGCGCTCGTCGCGATTCCGAGTTGTTTCGGAGATTCGACCGTGTAACGAGAAATGGCGACGTTGGCAGCGGAAATAACTAAAACGTCATCGTAGTCGTCGACAGTAGACTGTTTAACAAGGCCTCGAGGTGCTTGATACTCCGCGGTCTTTCAGGCCATTCAGGAACACGCGCACGCGAGAGGGGGGGGGGGGGGGGGGGGGGAGAGAAAAACGCGCGCGGGCCGCTTCTCCGTGAAGCCTCGGGCGCTCGGCTGCAGCGGCGAATCATACGCTTTTCATGCGCGCCACGTACACGAGCGAGCCGGAGCTTTGTGCGCGCGGCTCGCCCGTTGCGTGCCGCGTCGAACGCCAACGACGCATGTAAAATGTATCGATTACGCGCCCAAGGCTCCGTGTCGCGACTGCAACACTCGGTGCGATGCCTCGAGTGCGCTTCACCGCGGCCCTCGGGATTGTTTTCGCGGGAGCGAGCCGCTTTCAGATGGGCGAGAAGCGGCCGAATCGCAACGATAATTAAGCGCTCGCTGGTCGCGCCCCGTCAGCGACGAAAAATGCCGCCGACAAAAGCTCAGCGCGGTTAATTGTGCTCTTCGAAAAGCAGCGTCGCGAAGTCTTAGGGTCGTAGACCCGCCGGTCGTTGTGCATCGTGGCGTACTAACGCGCGACGTTGGAAAGCCAAGCTCGCGCGCGGGCTATAGACGTCGTAAATGCGCGCGCGCGTATTCGACGGCGGCGGCTGGCGGGGAGCTGCCACGGCGAAATTACGCCAAGCCCTCGATCTCGGCCCGGCGTCCGTGGCTGCAGGCGCGACACAACTCGGCCGGGGCGATAAAATTTGGCCCGCTAACAAGGCGGCTCGGCGAACGGGATCGCGCGGGGCATTAACGAGCACAGTCGCTCGGCGAATGGGTCGAAGCTGGATACTTCATTAGGCGATAACCCGACAGCTCGGCCAGAACGAAGGGAAGGAAAAGCTCGGCGCCGAATCTACCAGCTCCGTACGCGCCTTTATAACGACCGAGTCGCGCGCCTGTCCGACCGAACTCGACCTCGACTACTTAAACGAGTGCGCAGCCACTTGGCGCTCGAGAAAAAGCGGATCATGCATCGGCGCTTGGCTTTGGAAATTTTGCACTGGCCGCAGCAATTACCGAGCTTCCGTCGTTCGGTAATGGAGTCTCGATACGGATTTGGTCGTACAGGTAGACATCACGAGCGGATGGCAGCCTCGTTTCCTTTCTATAACTACCTTCCCTTCGCCGCCCCCCCTCCCCTACTCACACCCTCTCTCTTTCTGCTTCCATTTTCAACTTCAATTCTTATCACTTTGGCTGGCGCTTTCAATTCCAAGTTCCGACAATCGAGGATGAAAGGACGAAGATGTACTCATTTGTAGGCATCAGCAAAGGAATAATGAAACGAGCGTAACGGCTCCCATTAGAAAAGTCGCGCAAACAAAGTTGGACGGGCAGTCAGGCAAAAACGAACGGGGCGCGAGCAAAGTTTGGCCCCTCGCAAAACTCCTCGGGCGCGCGCAAGTCGTGCAAATAAAAGCGACGTTCACCTGCCGACGAAGACGAATCGTCCGGTGAGATTCATCCTCTTGGACGACTCCATGAGGTGCCTGACGGTCAGTCCCTCGCAGAAGCAGACGACGACGTTCGCCGCTGGATCCTGGTCCAAGTTGGCGATCACGGCGTCGAAGGCGGCGTCGTCGGCGGTCGTCAAAATCGAGTCCTCTCTGGCCACGCAGACGCCGTTCCTCTCGGCCAACTCGCGGAACGCCTGGATCCCGCTGGTCCCGTAGTTCTCTGCAAAGCCCCGACGCTATTTGCTCTCCTCAGGAAATAATTATCCGCGATTGCATCGCCTCGACGTATTTATGCGCGCGGCAGCTCGGCTCGCTGCGGGAAACGGCTTATTTCCGCCTCGAGCTCCCATATTTTTCAGCGCGCGCAGAGCTGGCTTTTCAAGTGGTTTGCCGGAGTGCCGGGGAAATGCGCGCGGGCCGGAAGAAAAATGCAACGACGACGAAGAAGAGGACGAAGAGGAGAACGAAGGAAGATGAGAGGCCAATCGGATGCTCGTTTCGTTTTACTCTTTTTAGCGCGAATCCTTCATCGGATCAAGCCACTCGAAAGCTCGGGACGCCGTTCTACCGCGTTATTGTATAGATCGAGCGCCACAAAGTTTGCGGGGAGTCGATCCGCCGCGACATCGAGTCACACGGCCAGGGCCGTTGTCGATTGGAGGACGGGCCGAGCTGTGGCTCTCATTGTCTCGAGGCGCCTTTTCTGTTTCTACGCGCGGCCTGCCTGCGAATCGCACAGCGAAGATAAGGCTAATGGATTTTCGGTTATCGAGCAGCCACGCAGCTATACTCGATCACCAACTCGGCCGAACTGCACTCTCGCCGGGCGCAGCCAGCTCTTGGCGTTCATTATGCGAAAGTTTTTTAATAGCTCGGGGGCTGGGCTCGAGTGTCTCGCACTACGAGTGCCAATTAAAGTTCGAGTCCCGCTGCGTTCGGACGTGCGCCGTTGCATCGCGCTCGCTCGCGGCGCCGCGCGCCGGCCAAAAATCAAGAGCGCCGTGGTGTCGCTTATTCGCGACCGCGTCTCCTCGGCCCGCCCCCCGAGGAACGGGAGTCGCGCCGCGCCGCGAAAAACGTCGTCGAGCCGCGCGGGGACGTGTCGTCGCGGGACGGTGCTCGGATAATTGGCCGTTAATCGGATAACGCACGACACTCGTCGACAGCCGTGGCGTGCACTCCTCCCCCCCCCCCCCGGGCCCCGTTAATACCACGCCGACGACCCGGGCGAAATCGGAGCGTGCAGTGCGCGCGAGAGTCGGGCTCGCGCGCGCTAATGATCCGGAAAACAAACGCGCCGCTACTCTAATTAATTGGTATAGCGCGCTCGAGCTCCTTCATTAACGGTCCCTTGTGGCACATGCATACTTGATCGCTTGTCTTTCGATTGTCAGGGAATGCCTGCGCGCAGCCGCAATCCCTCATTCTCCGGGCCCGTTATTTATACATTTCGCGAGATGAAACTCAAGCCCCGCCGAATTAATGTAAAACTTGATCTCTCCGCATGATTCTTCGCCGAGCCTGAATGTTTGAATACTATGGATTTCTCATCCGAGAAGTAGAGCAGCACGTTATTCAACTAGAAAGTATAAAGAGACGTCAAAGTAGAAAGGTTAATTAAATTACAAGCCGACGCTCTAATATCGTAATAACGTAATTTCCTGAGGGGGAGAGCGGAATGGGGCAGAAGAAGCGGAAGAACCCCCGCGAAAAATAATTACGAGTCGACAGTAAGGGTGACACGCTCGCGTGCAGGTCTCACGTGGCCGGTTAATTGATTAAAGCGGAGTTCGCCTGAAAAACTCCCGCGATAGCGCGAAAAGCCACTGGTGTAATCGAAAGTTACTAGTTTTCTCCGGTGCCTGGACAGATCGGTGCTTATAGATCATCTCCAGCGCAGCTACGTCAGTCATCGAGCGTCAAAATTCTAAGTGAGCATTGCGCACGCCTCCATCGGGAATTCCTGACGGGAAACAACAATCCTTTGCTGGCTCCGACTGAGTTGTCACTCGGCTCGATTATTCCACACTCGAAGGCCGTGGATTACGTACCGGACGGCGCCGCGGTCACATGCTATCACGCGCGCGGGGACGCGTGCGTCTGCTTCTTTCGACGCGCGGTATACAAGCTTCGGTCTCTCTCTCGTCGATCGAATAACTAAGGCAATTAGCCGGCCGAATCTCGATGTATTGGAACTCGCTGAGAGTCTTTAGCCATTGCCGGGGTGTATTTATACGCGTCAGCCGTGATGGGGCTCTGTATTAAACGCACAACTGACGACGTCGACAAACAGCCCATATCCGAGCGATTCTCATTCGGGACCGAGCTGTTGTCATTGCCGCAGCGACCAGCCCAAATTCGCCAATTTATTGTTGCCACGAGTTGTTATTTCTGGCGGGTACATCGATCTGAGCGGCTAACCTGACGCGCGGAAGGAGTTTGGATCGAGAGCGCGACGCGAGCCGAGCGCAAGCACGTGCGCTTCACCTGCCAGCTTATAAAGATTGCCGCGCGCGCGCCACTAGCTCCAGATTACATTGTTGCTTTTTATACTCGCCCTCCTACCCTCTCTCGCGCCCACTCTCCTTCGGATGCCAGGACAAACTTTTGTCGCTCGGCAAAGAGTTTACGGCCGTCTCGCTCGGGCCGAGCCTCGGCCGCGCGAGCCTGATTCGAGACGTGCCTTCGATTTCGCGGTCCGCGACGCGCAACGCAATCGGGCTAAATGCCGAGCCGCGGCGTGCACGAGAATAGGGGCACGGGAGAAGAAGGCGCCATTCCTCGCTGCCGCCGCAATTTCTGCGCCTTTGTCGCCGAATCTCCCCGGGGATAAGAAAACAAATGAGCGCGCGAGGAGGTAGAATGAAAGGAGCTGCTGCTGCTCCCGCCGCCGTATCGGGATACTCTTTTTTCCCCCTACTCCGGCGTTTGTCTTTCTCGGGCCGAGAGTCGTTAATACTTTTAATATGGGTCAAGTAGCGACAGTCGCGAGTCAAATCAAAATTTCGATTTTTCAACGCTATTTTCTTTTCTTTTTTTGGTTATATAAAGGAAGAACTTTGAGAGTCTCCCTTGTATTTTTTCCATTCGAGATAATTGCGAAGTGAAAGGTGCCGAGAAAGAGAGAGAGAGAGGGGGAGAGAGAGAGAGAGAGAGAGAGAGAAGGGGAAAAATGGAGCACTGTCGAGTTATTAGCGCGTCTCGTCATTCAGCGATGAATATTTATAATCAATGCGATTATGAAGTAGAATGCGAACGAATAATAAGCGTAGCTTGAGTACGAGCATGAGACGACATGGAAGACCGACTGCAATAGGGAGTCGATCGATCGAGACATTATGCGCTGGAGCAAGCTGGGAGCTGCACGCGATTTCCGGTTAATACGGTGGTCGACGCGCGACGCGTTCGTGATTCAGATTTTTCTGCGCCGCGAGCTGCTCGAATACGAAAGCCCAAGATTTACGCCGCGCTGCGGCAACTGACAGAGACACGTTCCGCTGTGCAATTCGGCGGCCGTATTTACGAGCAGGCAAAAAGAGCAATTAATTTGGTGAGTCCGCGGAACAGGACAATACGGCGGGTCAGCTGGGAGCGGATCGATACGTCTTTTGTCGCTGCAAGACTCACCATCGGTGTTGACGATCGACACGTAGGTCCAGTTGAAGTATCGCACGAGATCGACGAGCAGCTGCGCCTGATAGTAGTCCGAGGGAACAACCCGCAGGAAGGTCGAGTATCGGCTCTTGTCGCTCAAGTCCCTCGAGGTACAAGAATAGCCGACCTGCAATGATGATTGCCAGTGAGGCACGAGCCGCGGCTCGCTGTCGCGACTTACGCGCTAACGACAATTCACGTGGCATCGATCGAGCCCGTGCAATTGTTACGCAACGAGTGCGCGCTTTACCTGTGGAATGGAGAAGAGCTGCAGTAAGTTCTGCACTTGAAGCGCCACGGAACTGGAGCCCGGCCCAACCACGCCGATCAGCGGAGCTGCTTTCTCAACGGTGTCCTGATCGAACGGCAATCGTGATTGAAGAATCGCAGGCTTATCGAACGGACGTTTGGCCCGCGTTTCGGCCCCCACTGCCTCGCCACTCGATTTCACCGTACTTTCATTATTCACGGCTCATTAAAAAAAATTCATTAAAACGAACCGCTTCATTTCGACCCGACTTTTGCCCCGCTCTTCCGCCCCGGAAACAGAGAAATGACTCTCTTTGCCGTCAGCTCGGCCGAATTGAAAGTATATCGCGGAGGAGTTCTCTTATCTGGACTTTTCGAGAAGAAAAATTAAACATAACCGAGAGCGCAGTGAGAACGAATGGGCACGCTCGCCCGCTCGCTCGCGGGCGATAAAAAAACTTACCGAGGCGAGTGCCTCCTCGTCTACGAGACAGGCATCCGAGACCGGAGCCAGCGCCTTGGCGTTGGCCGGCCGGATGGCGTCGCGCACCAACTCGATGCTCTGCTGCAGGGCCACCGGCGCCGACCAGCACGAGTCGCGAGCCTCCAGCCCTAGGGTCACGCCTGCAACAGCAGACACCGTTTCCCTCTCTCTCTCTCTCTCTTATTCTTTCCCTCGGCTGACTACAGGCAGACCTCGCTACTGCTCGCAAAACAACTCTCCCTCTCTCGCTCTAAGTAGCTAAGTTTTAATTAAAATGCCTCCTCTCTGCGTCGGCTTACATCCGACGATAAATCCAACATCATATCAAAGTGCAGTATTTCGCATCGCGCGTGGAGAGCTGTATATCAGCGCGCAGCAACCGGAGCTGATCGAGAAGCGTCGCGCGGGGCGCAACGGTCGGAGAGTGCGTTTGCAGCTGCTAGCGAGGGCCGGGGATCACGGGAGACCAACCTCTGAGCACGTCGGAGCTGTTGTTGATCTGGTCGAGGGTCCAGAGCGCGGTCTCCACCCGCTGGATGCCGTACAGCTCGCGAATGGCGCCGCAGACCAGAGCGCCCTGCTTGCTCGACGGCTGGTAGTGCACACTGAAGAGCGCGCCGATGATGAAGTCACCGCGCACTCGCGCCGACAGCCCGGCCTGCTGGGCCCCGGCCGTCGGTCCCCAGTGCCAGCAGCACAACGCCCACCACCACCAGCTGCCGACGGCTCTCATGGTCCAGCGCTCTCTCGCCTGCCGAAGCTCGCGCCGATCATGCTCGGCGCGTCGGCCGCCGCGCTCCGGCGTCGACTGCGCCCGCGCGCTCATCCTCCTCCTGGACTGGCTGCTGCCGTCGCCGATCGCCGAGCCGCGCTGCCCCCAGCTCCCGCTGCGTCGCTCCTCGGACGCGGTGCCTCGACGACCTCATTCTCGCTGGTGCGCCCCAGCTCTGAAACGGACGTGTGCGACGCGCGCGAATAACAGCGACCTCCCGCCGACGAGCGCGCGCGCCGACAACGAGAGAACGACTTGGGCCCGTATTCGTTCGCCCGCTCTCTCGCCTCCCCGGGTGGAAGAGGGAAAGAAGTAAACGATAATGACGGCTGCTTGCGGTGCTGTTCGCGGTTGCCGCGGCTTAAAGGTTCTAATTAGACGGCCTCCCCGGCGGCTAATTAACATTCGCTGAATGCCAACAGCCAGCGAGCTGCGCCATTGAATTTGGCCTTTTCTGATCTCGCGTTTGATCGTCGGGCTCTCGAGCCAACGTCACAGTCGAGCAGCGCGCCTCTGCGCCGAGGCGCGATTCAACGACGAGTGGTGCGACAATTCGACGGACGCTCGCGAACTGACTCTTCTTGCGAGTACGCGAGCCGGTAGCGGGCCGGCGACCCTCCGCGCCGTAACAATGAAATATACGCGGCGGCGGTCGGCCAACGAATATCTGGGAAATCGCGCGCGATTCGTCAGCTGGATTTGCCTTCTGTCGCGAGTGTCGCTTAATTAAAGCCACAAGCGCTCTCTCGAGCCTTGTGCTCTCTCTCTCTCTCTCTCTCTCTCTCACTCTCATTAGCCAAATAATTGATGCTTTCTACTTCGACTCGCGGGCTGATTTACGACGGCGACGGGAAAGCAGGGATTATTTGACGTCGCCGCCGAGTGCTTACTTATCCGCAATTGGCGTGGGCGCGAGAGCCGCCGAATTGTCATGAATGCCTCCTCGAAGCGAGGAAAAGGCCTGGCACGCTCGGATTAATACCAGCGGATCGGCTGGACAACAGCAAGTTCGAGTCCGTTGCACTCGGGCGAGATCGGAAAGACTCGCTCTTTGCGGGCATGCCGCCGCGCCCGAGAGGCTATTCTCGGACGCAGGACTCGGTTCGATCTTGTCCTAGATAGCAGTTTTAACTCGGCTATTTTGTCGCTCGCTCGAGACGCCTTGCTCTGGCTTGCTCCGCAGTTTGCCATTAACCGTCGCAGTCCAATTTCGTCTTTGCCGCTTGACGATGTTTCACCCGAGCATCATCTGCGAATCGCGGCTGTCCTGGGGCGAGTCGCTTACGCGCGCCAGCGCCGAGAAATGCAGTCAGAGGCGGAGCAATCGATAGCTGTCAACGCTCGGCGCTGCTCGGAGCAGACAGCTCGTTTCGTTAAATTTAGCCGACCCCGTTGTCGCGCTTCCTTGCTGGATAGCGCCGACAATCCTGGTCGCTCCTGCGAGCGCCAGCCGCTGCTGTCTCGCAGATGCCACGGACGGGCAACGCGGAGGAATGTGCCACGGGAGGCGGCTGCTAAGCGATTAGCTTGTCAAGGTGGCGTAGCGGCCCCGCAAAGCGGACAATAAAGCGCCAAACTATGCCTCGTCCTGCGAGGCTTGCGCTCGACAACCGAGGCTCGCGCAACCCTCAAACACCGTTCGGCCGCGGAAGGAGTTGCGACACGGAATGTGTCGTCGTGGGACGAAATTTGACGAGGCCGCCGGGCCAAGATGCCAACTGCGCCTTTGTCTCGCGAGCGGATCGGAGACGCCGCTGACTATCGACTCTGCGGGACACACGCGCGCTCGCTCGACTTCGATTGATCACGCGGATCCGTGCGACAACGGCGCTTTGTCCTTCCCATAATGTTGTCGCAGCGACGTCAAATGGTTCGTAGCGTCGCAATCGGAAAGGAAAGTATCGAGCGACCGACGAAAAGTGCAGTTTCCGGCGAAACGAGGCGTTGATTACGGCGGCTCGAGTAGAACGACTCACCTCGACTGCTTGAGAGTTGGCCGGCGACTGGAGACACGATCGAGGAATCCCATTTAGCGGTAGCTCGCTCGCGACGAAGGAGGCCTCGACGCCGAGAGCATCGCGCGACGACGACGGTCGCTGCCCGTTTGAACGGTTGCCGCCGCTCGCGAAGTTGCACTCGCGAAGAGCGACTGGCGCGCACATGCGCGTCCCACGGAGGAGCCCTCTGTCTCTCTCTCTCTCTCTCTCTCTTTCTCTTACTCGCGGTCGCGCGCGCGATCAACGGAACGTACGTGCAGTGTCGGAGCCTCCGTAGCCCTCGGCGCCTGGCTTCGGACGAACCGCTAGGTAGTCGATGGTTTCGACGGAGCCCTGCACGCACTGACGACGCGAATGTTGCTTTTATCTACTGTAGTCGAGCCGCAGCTGACGCTAATGGCTTAGCTTAAAAATACTTCGACCGCCTCGCTGGGCGATCTCGTCATTTCAACGTATCCGACCAATAAATTCTCCCTTCAACGGTACGAGACTGCCTCTTCAGCAGGTCGTCGGTTCCGCGCCCGACGATCCGACCACTTGGTCGTCGCGCACATCTCAGCAGCAACAACTCATGCTTCGGATCTTTGACGATGGAATGGACGGTTATCGAGCATCCATCGTGCTCAGACTGCTCGTAGGCAGTTACTCAATTCGAGACAACGGTGGCGCGCACAGCTCGCTAAAGAGAATATAATGTTTCGCTTGGCATATTACTCGAGTTGAGGAGGTTCTATCGTTAAACAGAGGATCGTACGATCAACCGTAAAGAAATATTACAGCACGTAAGCCGCGAGGACGGTTTTTAAATTAGAAATGTAAAACCTTTTTCGAACTGAATATTTGTAACTAGATAGTACGTTTTCACGTGAAAGCTAGTGTGTGCGCAAAGAAATCAGACGTGGCCCGACTCGATGTGAGATGTGACACGAGATTACGCGGCGCGCGGACAAGCTTCGACGGGACAAAGTTACGAGCACTTCTTGGACAATTATCGGGCGCCTCGCGAGTTACCAAAGTTAATTTTAACCCCCGAAATAACAAGCATACGAACCGTCGCGAACGCCGGGAAAGGAAAGGCCAGCTCGCGCGAAATTAAAAAGTGCCTCGTAATGAAGTAGGCGAAATCCCGGAGGCCGGCATCGCTTGAAAAGCCAGAGAAGAGAGCCGAGCCTGGTACGCGCTCATTTAAAAGCCTTTTGCTCGCCTCCCCCCCCCCCCCTACCCACACACACACACACACCTCCGCCTCAAGCAAGGTAAACGAGGCCTTTTTTTTTCTACGTCAGCCCGCGTACTACATCGTTGGCTCTCCGACGATTGTTGGTCGTCATTGTGCGACCGGCTTTTCACGTCGAGAGCGGGCCCAGGGACGAGCGAGCGGCTAATTAATAAACTCGCGCGAAACTGCTGTCTACTGCGCGTAGGTCCGACGTCGAGCAGATCGCCCGCGACGAGGAACGTTTTTCAGCCGACGGAGCGCGCGCGCATTGAGAGCGTCCGACTCGAGTAATGTCCGCTGCGAAATCACGAAGAAAAAACTTTTGCCGCGATGGCTCCGCTTTCATTGCTCCAGGAGCTCGCGGCTATGGAAAAAATAGAGGAGCGAGCGCGCGCCAAAAGCCCGCACTGCTATTGCACGCGCGTGTTCGGCCCGGGGCGCATGAGCCGCGAGTAGCCGCGCTAATCCGAAGGCCGTGTGTCTCGCGCGAGGCAGTGGCTGGCCGGCACGAAAATGCAATCTCGGGCCGATCGCGGCTCTAAGCTAGCGTCGCGACGCCACAACGAGCGAATTGAAGTGGAAGCCCTCGCTCTGCGGTGCATCCGGTCGTCGAACGGGAGCGCGCTCGGGAAACGGAAAAAAAAGGAGAAAAAGGAAGAAAAGGAACGAGGCTCTTTCCACACCCTTCGAGTGGCTATTGTGCTCGAGCTCGGCGCAAGACTTTTGTCGCGCGCGATGCGATGCGCGACGCGAGAGAAAGAAAAAATCGATGTCGACGGAGGTTCGGGAGAAAGAAAAAAAAAAATCGACCGACCGACATCCAAATTTGATTGCCCAAGCCGGCGCTTATCGTTACTTCCGCGAGCGATCGAGGGCGCGCATGTGTGAGTTCTTAAAATATCAGCGCGCGACGCGCTCGATTCCGATCGATGCACGGCCGAAAGCTCCGCGTGGATTTAGACGACCTTTCGCAGTCGTCGGCACTTCGCTCTACATCGTCGAGTATATATCGATCCCTCGACGATCTCGCTAATCGGTCGCGGTACGTCGAAACGCATCCACGACGGGGCTTGAAGAGAAATCGAGCGAATCTCGGGCAGGTACTCGACCGTCCAAGCCGGCCCTTTATCAAAGTCAGTGTCGCCCGCAAAGACAGCGTTTGCCTTGCTCTCCTTCTCACGGCCCCTTTTCTCTCTCTCTCTCTCTCTCTCTCTTTCTGGCAAGCCCTCTTCTTAAATATTACTGTTATCGCTTTGTGCCGCTATTACTCATTCGTCCCTTGTTTCAACCGTGGGCAAAAGAGAATGGCCACTCGGTGCCCTGCATAATTTCGCGTGCTTCCCAACGAAGGCCCTCTGCCCGGCTGTCTGTCCTTCCCGTCGAGCTAATAAGTACGAGCCATTGTGCAGTTCAGAGCGCCCGAATTAGACGCGTAATCGCGCGCGCGTTTCCACTGCAATCACATCCGCGTGCTTTTTAATTGGAAACATCTGCGCACTGACCGACCGACAAAGGCTATCGTTTCCTGCGTCGTCGATAAAGAATTCGCGATGTTCATTCATTGCCGACGAGGTCGAGCCAGTTTTTCAATGCCAAAAGTGCATTACTTTCGTCGATGTGCATTAATTTGATTATTGTTACGCGCTCGAACAATGTTCGAAACAATGTTGTCCCGAATCGTGTTCTTACACGGCGATTCGCCGATACCAGCAGTGCCATGACGAGCTTATCCAAGACAAGAGCTCTTTTACAACAGCCATCGAGCGAAGCCGCGAGCGCAGAGTCAAAATGAAAATTCGCATCTTTGATCCCGAGTAACAGCTGTAACTAGCTGCATAACATTTTCATGGCTTCTCCTTCCCCAGCTAATTATGTAAACTACTTTAACGATTTCACATTGGTTTGCGATTGCCCGCAAGTTACGAGCTATAAGACTTATTCGCTGATGCGCAAATCCAACACCATAACACACGAGTGAATTTGGCTACGAGTAAATTAATCTTTTCATTTTTCCGAGCGTCGCCTGTTCATCGCGAAATTGGCATTCCGCATTTTTGAACGGACGATTTGACCGTGCGCGAGAGTTAAATCTTTCGTTCACAAATGGAATTTGAATGCAAAGCGGAATGTAAATTCATCGATAGGGGGTGGCACGCGAACCAATTTGGAGCAAGGCAAAGCAGATGCCGCGAAAAGTAAAGAATGTCGAGAAAAAAAAATTATACAAGGGCAACAAAAATGAACCAGTGGCGAGTTGCCCCCCCCCCCCCCCCCCTCCCCAAGGACGCGCATACACGCGGCGACTGCACGTTCGCAGGTGATAGCAGCAGCGAAGCCGAGGACCACTCGTGGTTAAAGGCTGAAGAGCTGCGCCTCTTGCTTTAATCTACTGAGGTGCCTCTGCAGCGGCTCTAGTGCCGTTACTAATTACGTTAAAGTAAGACTAGCCAACAAGGGAGCTCAGAATTGATGTTCAACCGAGATAGCAGTCATCAATTTGTCGACTATAATAATATACGCACAACCAAGTTGTTCGAACATTTTTAGAACATTCTGATGAGCTGTCAAACAAAGTTGAATCGGTAAAGGTCTGTGGAGAAATTCAAAGTTCGGTAGGCGCTGAAGTTGCTCACCTGCAATGAGTCGCGCATAGCTCGCGAGCCACGCGTAGAAATCTGAATCTCGGCCTTGTTAACGTAATGTATAAAGAGTGAGTTTCCGAAAACATAGAATTCGATCTGACAGCTTGGAGAAAACGCATATTATCGAATTGCCCAATTATTCGACTAATGTTTGCCAATCGGATTTCCGTCCGTCATTAATCAGCCTTTATTCCGCTGGTTTAGGTTTTTTCTGTGTCGATCAATTTCAATTCGTGGATAGTAATGGATCGGGCCAGCTGGTGTCAGCACCAGTCAGCGGTTACATATACAGATATATATATATGTATATACACACACACACACACACACGCGCACATTATATCGTGCTGCAGCAGACAATGTTGTGTCGTTGTGAGGTTACATATAAAATTTTGTAAATACTCGAATCTTTATTGTAAATAAAGAAATTTTTACACCAACACAATGTCTACCAGATGGTAAGTTACTTAACCTTTTTTAATACTTGATAATTCAATTACTATAACATTAATAGTTTCACGCTATTCACTACATATTTAATTTAATTTTGCTCTTAGAGAATCAACCTTTTTGTAATAAAGTGTATATATATGCAATAAAAAATTCTATGCTATAGGTACCCACTATATCAGAAAGGTAACCCACAATTAAGGATTTTCCTGCCAAACTTCTGGTTAAAGCTTGTCAAGCCAGAGCATTCACAACCGAAAAATATAGTAGTGTTTCATTGCTCGATGGAAATGACAAGATATGACGTTAAAAATTACTTGGAGAAAATTTACAAAGTACCAGTAATCAAAGTGAACACTAGGATAGCAATGGGTAAATTTAAAAAGAATGAACAAGGTACTATTATCAAAAAGGATGATATTAAATTTGCATACGTAAGTTTGGTAAGTAAAATCTATGAATGCCTAATGCAATAAAAACACCAAAGAATATGTGGAGTTTAGGTACAATTTGAATTCTCAAATAAAATATATAAATTTTTATTCCACATAATCTTAGGTTTAATAAAGCTAAAACCTTTTTAATTAAAAATCTAAGTAAAGTGTTTTTTTTCAGCCTAGGTATGAATCATTTGAATTTCCTAATATGTTTGATATAGAAGAACGTAAAAAAGAGAAAGAAAGAGAAGAGCAACAATATGAAGAGATTAAAAAATCTCATAAAGAAAAAATTGCTGAACAAAGGAAAACCAGACCTGGAATACCAACATGGTTTAATTATTAGAATTTGTGTGTTAAATAAATTAAGTTTGAATTTTCATAAATAAATGTTTTATTGGTACAGAATACTAATATTATTTATTTAATTTTTTATTTACGCACTATTGCAAATAGAAAATATTATTTAATGTCATAGTTAAGAGAAATTTTCAAAACACTATAAAAAAATATCCATATTTTTTTGTAGTCTATTGATATGTAAATTTAAATTTTCTCAAATAATGGATTTATCAAAATCAAATTGCAAAATGCTTATTATAATTGAGATATTTTAAAAATGAACAAAAATGTCAGTCATAGAATCTACATCTATCTCACAGATCTTCATCTTCTTCCTCATTATCCAAATTATTTTCTTGAATACTGTTATGTTCTGAGTCCTGAATTGTGAATTCTTCTAGCATGTATTCAAACGCTTTGCACTTGGGACAGTTAGTAATGTCAATTAAAAATGTCACCTTTAAAATTATATATTTCAAGGTATCAAAATAGTTGAATAAAATTGTTATTATGAAAGTAATAGAAATATTATAAATACCATTTTGTGTTTGGGACAACCATATCTGACTCTACCAAACATCAAATAACCACAATTTAAACAAATGATATGAGAGTATGGTCGATTACAAATACAATCTGATCCTATTTTGTCAAATTTTCCAAAACCACGACCCCTAATGATACCTTCAATAGGTTTTGCTAGATTTTGATTCACTGTAAATGAATAATTTGTAATGCAATTTAATTTTTGTTGTTGTATATATTAAACCAAATTTCTCAATAATCGATATGTAATCACAAATTGCAAATTGTTCTAAAATTCATGAAAAAATATACCATGCATTAAAACTTATATTTTGTTTTTCTACAACATAAGTAATGATGTAACTATATTAGCAGTACATGTAATTTACAAAATTTCGACAGTAGCACAAAATAAAATTTGATAGAGGACTCATTTTCAAAACTTATTGCAATTTATTTTTTAATATTTTGAATAAATCATATAATATTTTTCTCATTCCTTTACATTCGCTCGCGTTCGAAAAGCATTCATCAAACTTCCCAATCAGTTCAAGCGAAAGTTAAACAAATTTCAATGACTCATCCAATTCAATCGAAATCTGTCATTCAATATTGTTTTCTTAATAAGACGAAGCCGTCAAAATTTTCTTCCATGCAAATCTCCGATACGATATGACTGTCTTTTGTCTCGCGTCATAGGCGACTAGGTTTATAGTTATCCGAACCCCCGAAGCCAAAACAATGCACTAAAGACATGTATAATACATTCTCTTGATTGAAAAAAAACACAATAACCTTGTTTGTTCAAATTCATTGCGGAATCTCGCACCATGTTTATAATGTTTTCTTCAAAATCCTCGTCGTAGAAAATCTATTTGACTTGTGCAGCAGTAGCACAACGCAGCGAACGATATCTGCACGCGGTCTCAGCGTCGACCGGCACGTATTGTAAACAAACTCTCACCCCCACTACACGCGCAATCGGATTTGTTTTCGAATGAATATACTACGTTGGTAAAGGTAAGGATTTTTTTTATGATTTACTAACCAACCAATACTTGATGTATATCTTGAAAAACCAGAAATAACTTTTGAAATTCACACGTGCACGTACTTACAAAACTTGTCACTACACAACTGACCGGCCACATGTGTTTACTGGATAGATAAGTTGAACGGTCGGCAGTAAATTTGGAAAGCGTTGGAAGGTTCAGATCCTTTGTTGACCTTGAAAAATAAGTTTGTCAATGTTACATAGAAAATTTGTTCTTAAAAAATTCACGATTTATCTTGAAAATCTTTTCATGTGTTTCGCGAAAAATAATTTCATCGTAGAAAACAGCCGATACTCAGTAAGCTTCGCTTCAAAAATACACGAAATAATTTATCGAAGCGAGAGCGCAAGGGAACAAACGTAACCATAGCTGCGTGACGTAATTATCGATAAAACCTCGAAGAACGAGTACAGTGCGAGTGTACAGCGTACACATTAACTTCTCCGTGAGCGATGGCAAGTGGCGAAAACAAGCGATTTGGCAACAACATTTACGGAAGGTGTGTTTGTGATGCATAACTGCCCGACTCCTTTTGCCCTAATTTTCAACTTACTTCGGATTTTAATTGCCGCTCTTCTTATTCGCGTTTCAAACTCCATGGCAATACCGACTTTTCTGATCGTTCTGAATGTTTGTCGTTGACGAGATGAAGGTATTTTAAAACAGACCTATGAATGAGGACTTGTACATGCTCGTCCGATCGTCATTTCTAAACTAATCAATCACTAACCATCGCTCACGATTTTGTCATTCTCATATATTTTCGCTAAATGTTATGAAAGAGTGCCTACTATCGGACCGGACAAAATGAAGGTAACGTTTTGCACGGACATGGAGAAATCCGTGATAGTCCATAATCTTGAGAAGAGAGGTTGGCTGCAAGTGGGTCCCGAAGACGATTGGAATTTTTACTGGTAAAACACGTTGCAAAATGATAATCGATAAATGTGAACGAGCTTCTGAATATTTATGTGTATTTAAAAAGCAGGGCCGTCACACAATCGTGCAGGAACATTTTTAGCGTGGAAACTGGTTACCGTATGGGCGACAATCAGTGAGTTCTCGATAAATATTGATCAAAAGCATCGCCTAAATAAGGGGTACTTCACAGGACTATCAACCACTTTCCTAATCATTACGAGTTGACACGCAAGGATTTACTGGTGAAAAATATCAAAAGATACCGAAAAGACTTGGAGCGCGAAGGCAATCCTTTGGCCGAGCGAGGAGAAGGACCCGGAAAGTATCTTCATCTTGATTTCATCCCAGTAACGTTTGTTCTACCGGCAGGTACGTTTTTTGTTTCATTTATTCCTTTCGTGTCATTAATGTACAATGGCGCTCAACATTTTAGATTACAATATGTTTGTCGAGGAGTATCGGAAGTCACCACAGAGCACATGGATCATGAAACCTTGCGGGAAATCTCAAGGTGCCGGAATATTTCTTATAAATAAGCTTAGCAAGTTAAAAAAATGGTCGAGAGAAGCGAAAAATCCTTTCAATCCGAATTTAACTAAAGAGTCTTATGTAATTTCGAGGTGAATACACGTTCGGATCTATAAGACGCATACAACGACAAATATAAATTTTTTCTTTTTCATTTCTAAAAAAAGGTACATAGACAATCCACTTTTAATCGGTGGAAAGAAGTTTGATCTTCGACTCTACGTTTTAATTACGTCATTCAGGCCTCTAAAAGCCTATTTGTTTAAACTGGGATTTTGTCGCTTTTGTACTGTTAAATATGACACGAGCATTCAAGAATTGGATAATATGTATGTTCACTTGACCAATGTTTCCGTGCAAAAGCATGGGGTAAAGCTTCTCCAAATAATTTACAGATTTAATCATATGTGTCAACTTTAATATTATTTTTTCGTTTAGGAAGAGTACAACATAATGCACGGCGGAAAATTGAGTGTTCAAAATCTCCGTCTGTATTTGGAAAGCACACGAGGAAAAGCCGTAACAGAAAAATTGTTCGCAAATATTTCGTGGTGTATCGTACACTCTCTAAAAGCTGTGGCGCCTGTTATGGCAAACGATCGGCATTGTTTCGAGTGCTACGGTTACGATATTATCATTGATAATAAATTGAAACCATGGCTGATCGAGGTAAAAAAATACATCGATAGTTATTATTGTTTCTTTAATCATTTACAGAAATAAGTTTTTACAGGTCAATGCGTCGCCTTCTCTCACTTCGACAACTGTTAACGACAGAATTTTGAAATATAAATTGATCGATAATATAGTTTCAGTTGTACTACCACCTGATGGAGTTCCTGAGTAAGTTTTAATCTTCAAATTTTCCAATGCACTCACTGAGAATAACTAATTTATCGCTGATATTATAATATTTTAGTGTGAGATGGCCGAAATGTCCTTCGCAAGAAGCTATGGGTAATTTTGAATTACTTATAGATGAGGAATTGGCTGCTCAAGACGAACGAGATAATTCAGGGAAATATAAGAATGCGTCAAAGTGGAAATGAGTAAACTACACATTTTTTTAAGAAGTTATAAATGTATTCTATTACACTTTATAGATAACAAAAAGTAAGTACATTAACTTTAAAGTTTGTGTATATACGTTCTATCCTAGAATTTAGTAATTCACAACAATCGCTCTTGTCTTGTTTGTACTGCTCATTGACCGTCAATCTCTACACTTAATACGTTTGCGAAATTGAAAAACAAAGCAAACAAAAAAAAGGTAGATTTTTCCATAAATAGAATAGAAGTTACTTTGAAAAAAGCAACACAAGTACGAAGAATCAAACATGAATTCCGTGTCATTTGTAAAAATCAAAATATCAGATTACGTCTCAATAAATATAGCTAGGGTCAAGTATCTCGTTGAGCATGATGGAGTTGGCTGAACAACTAGTGCACTTGGCAATATCATAAAGGAAGATCACCTGCATGAGAATTCGATCAGATGGATTAAAAAACGTATCACCCACCCATAACCGAAATGAAAATACGACTACGAACCGTTTTGTGGATGTAGCAACAATAGCGAATTCGACCGTACATCACGTTACCACAGTTGTTACAAAGAATGTTTGTTTTAGGTCTAAAGCAAAGGCATTCTTTTGGTGATGGATTGAATATCGCACCTTGTGGCTTCCTCGTATTGTTCAGATTGTCTATTAAAAGTTTAAAAAGGCTAATTTAAAAAAATTTTCCTGAATATCTCATTAAAATTGTTACCTTCGTTCTTCAATTTTAACATATTTATTTTTTGCTTGTGTCGATTTTCACAGTTTTCAAATGATATACTCTACTGTGTGACAGTGTCGAATGGCTATTAGCTACTGAAATAAAAGCATAACAGTAAGATTCTTGAATGCTTTGCACTCACACACAAATTTTCATGGAAAATTTTCCAAACAATTTCGACTGTGTTTATATGTTTTGTATGAAATGAAGACTAGGAATTTACAGTTTTGAAGACATAACACGGCATGGATTTAAAATATTTTAACAAAGTTTTATTTTGTTTTATTTTGTACAAATATTTTACACTTACGAGGTAAACGAAAAACGTTATATCCTATATAAAAAATATATATACCAACGTCAGTCTTGCGACACTAAAAAAATCTTCAGAAAGAACGAAAAATTTAAGCTTTAATTGACAGTTGTTGCAATTATGTACTAATACGAAAAATAAAACAATTTTGTAGATCATTTTTTTTTTTGGACAAAAGAGTATTTTGTGAGGCTTTTATACAGTAAAATAATCTTTCATCGTAAGTTCATTTTGAAAATTACAAGTCGCAAAAAGTTATATGGCACGACAGTTGTGATTCTCATCACAGGAATAGTTTTTGTTTCGTTTGTATATATTAGAAACACTATCGAAGGATAATGTCTTCTTGGCCTAAATTTAGTCGGTAAGTCGTGCTTTAAATGAATGATAGTGCAAAGTGAACCCGTTTCTTCAATGATACTGTAGAAGTATAAACTCGTTTTTTTCTCAACAAACCATTCTAAAATGAGATTAGAATGATATTCAATATTTCTCAGGAGTATTTGTCTTGCATGTCCAATCAATGGACTATATATAAAGGTGTAATTGCTTTTTTTTTCTTTTAATTTAGCTATTATTAACTAAATAACCTTAACATATTAGCGTATCATAAATTTAAAATTTATAAGATTTTTCAAACTAACAATTCAATCAAATCAAACTAGATTTTTTAACATTTCGGTAATATCGGTCTATCTAATGCATAGTTCGTTTCAAAAAAATCGTTGTTATTTCATTATGATTTTAGAATTTAATGATAATCTGGTTTGGTTTATTTATTATAAATGGTCAGGAGGAATTTTGAATACTTTATTCAAAATTCTTCATAATTACTTTTCATATTAGTAATATAATAATTGGTTTTTCAAAGTTTTGAAAACTACCTATGGGTCATATCAAACCGCGTGTATTTCGATTACGTACGTTTCGCTAGTTTGGTCTCTATCCACATCAGATTTTTATTACAAATCAAACATTACACAAATTAAAATTATAATGATTAACCAATCGTTAACAATAAAATTTTGATACGTATTTTATAAATCAAAATAATATCGTGATAATAACATGTCAAAAAATATATTATCAGAAGAAATTCACAAGTCCAACAATGTGTCAATAGAAAGATACAACATACTATCACAACTATCGAGATTATATTGAAATTATAGTTAATGAGATTATAAAAAAAACAGAAAATCGATAGCCGAGCAGTTATAATAACGTAAAGAAAACAAGCATATATTGAATTATAGTAACAATAACTACCTACAGTACAGATAATATAATATTAAATTTTTTGGAAAAATAATTAATACTAATGACTTGACTTATTAAAAGATTTATAGATTTTTGATATTATTTACTCAAAAATGATGTATCCTCCTATCTATCAATAGTATAAATATGCGTGCTAATACAGATCATTTCAGAAATTAGTCTTAAAGTTATTTTTTTTTCGGTTAAAAAATTTCACAGTAAATTTTTGAGTGAACAATACCAAAGAATTTATACATTTTTTAATATGCGAAATCGGTAGTATTAATTCTTTTCGAAAAAAATTTAATATTATAATATGTATATTGTGGATTGTTATTGTAGTTAGAATTTAATATATGTATCAAAATTTTATTGTTAGAATTTGGTTAATCATATAATTTTAATTTGTGTAATGTTTGATTGTGATAAAGAAGAAATATATGATAGTTTAACTTATGACCTGTAGATCGCTTTCCAAATTTTGAAAAACCAATAATTACATATTACTCAAAGTGTCTATGTGATTGTTGTTCTTTTTCTCTAATAATTATACTATACGGGGAGAATACTATGCGCAGTAATTTAAATGCAACCTTTGGTTAACAACTACTTAACATAAGGAACATAAATAATGTAAATATTTTTTCCGTTAACGACGTAAAATATACGATATGATAATTATCATATCACAAGTAACAATACGAAACTTATTAATTTTGCTCATCCCTTTCATACTTCGAAAGAAAACGTATTCAATCTCAAAACAATTAGACACAACAATATCATGCATGTAATATACATAATGTATATAAAGTAATGTCATTGACAATTATATAAACATTTTTTTCTATTTATAGTCAAATATAGGACTCTAATATACACTGAAATTGTCTTGAGATAAAATCCATTGTTATTTCATACAGAGTAAAAAAGTCATGTATTCTTACGCTATCTATTAGCAATCATACTAAGGTTCGCGGTAAACATTGCACAATCGCACTTACAACATATTTACAATCTATCATGGGTGCAAGCCACGATCTCTTAAAGGCACTATGGCTTTTGGACTTTGTACATGCAGATTCGATTCTTGAATCAGATATTTGCACTGTTTCCTCTCCACAAATTGAACATCAATTTGACTTATAAATAATAGTCTCCTATAAAATGATTTTTTCGTAACATGACAAATGCAAATGCTTGAAACAATGTTAAATTCAAAAACAAAAAAATATTTGCAAACAAACAAATAATGATAAACCACAAATGCTACTCTTCTACAAGAGAGAAAAAAAGGAGAATGAACAAAAAGTCTAGTCGGAATCGTCGGAAGCAGGCGATTCAAGGTACAGGCGATGGAGGCGGCGGTAAGGGACTGAAGTAGCACGACGACCTCGAGCCCGGCGACGGCGGGCAACTGATTGCCGTGTCGCTTTGGTAGAGTACGGATCTCGGGGTCGGAGGTGGCGGAAAGGGCTCCCCTGCGTAGGGATATCTGAATCCGGGCATTGGTGGATAATTACTGTCCGACTCGTCGCAGACATCGGTGCTGCAGGGTGTTGGTGGCGGGGGTTGGTTGATATGTCGATAGTTCCGATAGGGCCGATAACGCGACGCATTGCTACTAGAGCAACGTGTCGAGTTGGCCGTGGTAGCAGGGCTTGGAGGTGGATTGAGAGTCTCCTGGGGATAACCTGCTGAACTCGCATGTGTGGAACTCGATGCACCTAAAATACGTATGGCATTTAGTTATACAATATGAACCTACCAAGTATTGTAAAAGCTAGATAAAAGCTTACAGTAGGAAAATCCCGTGATGTGACTGCGGTCATAGCTGGAGCTAATACTACTACCGTTCAATGTTGACATCCTAACAGCCATACCTGGCTTCAGATCTTTCCTGCCATTCTTCTGCGACAGCATAGGCTTAGCCATTCTGCTGCTCTTTGGAGACAGTGGATCGCCAGCCGAGTCGTGCAGAATATCAGGTAAACCTTCGTTACCGCTAAATCGACGTTTACAGTAGTAGAAAGCAAAAATAACAAGAGCTGTAACAGCCATGGCAACAAACACAGAGATGAGATAGGTGTTTTTGCCACTGTCGTTGACAGGATCAACAGCTTGTCTATGGTTCGTAGCCGAGGCACACGTCGGTGCGGATTCGTCACTACCATCTGAGCAATTTTCCCAGCCGTCACACAAAGCTGATGCCGAAATGCACACATTCGAGCTTACACAGCGGAACTGACCAGGTCGACAGCAGTTCAATTCGTCCTCACCAGCTGCGCATTGTTTTGTACCATCGCATACCCAGGCATTTTCTAAAAATTAATAATTAAATACATATTTTTAATAAATACTGTCGTGACGATATTCCATTATTTAAAAAACTATTTAATTCACCAATGCAGTGGCCATTGTGACACTCGAAGTAAATATCTCTATTACACGGCGGGCATCCAATCTCATCGCTACCATCTGGACAGTCCTTTTGACCATCGCACTTCCACGCGCCTGGTATACATTCTTTCAAGTCAGCTAGCTTAGAAGTGAGGCATGTGAAGTGATCGGCACCACAGGTTGGTGCAACTCGACAATTTTTGTTATCTTCCGTAAGTACGAGACCTTGAGGACAAGCACATCTTGGACTGGCGCCAGCACCAATGCAGATGTGTGAACAACCACCGTATTCGTGTAACGGACTACAGACGTTAGATTCCATTACTATATTGTTCGGAAGTTTAACGACCACGAGATCGGTGAGAGGACGGTTACTCATGACGGTTTTGCGCCCAGAACCGGTGGTCTTATCTACTCGTTCCACTATCTGACTGTCTCGGTCGAACCTTCAAGGAAATAGATTAATTGAAATTGATGTGATTCAGATAAAGCTGGAAAGTTTGTGATCAAATTTAAATTGAAACTCACCAGTATACATAATCGAATAAGACCGACAAATGAACAACGGACCCTTGGACAGCCGCAACAAGTATCTTACGATTAGCTCCGTTCAATTCAGCAAACTCAATCTGCCTTCCATGAGCCCAATAGACAAGATTTGCAGCAGTATCAACTGCCAAACCCGATGGAGTTTCGAGATCCGAGGCAATAACGACTCGTTCTGTGCCGTCCATCAAGCTCTGCATCACGCGCATTTTCTCACCCACGTCAGTCCATAATAACAATCTTCTTTCTGGGTGCAACGCGATATTCCTAGGTTTTTCACCTTCACCTTTTACCACTACACCTAGAGTCGAATCGCTGTCTAACCTCGTTACATTGATAGCATCGTTCATCGAGCAAGACCAAAACAGTAATCGACCGAGAGGATCAAGAGCTAAATCGAACGGATGACCTGTACCGCCAGGAAGTACGACTACTGCATGAGTGCGATTTTCAAGAGCTTTTCGAATAGACGAGGTACGCCCATCGCCGGTGCGAATCCAATAGATGTACTGAGTAATTGGATCAAATTCGATGGCGCGTACATTCTTCAAACCTTGAACACGCAGGCTCACATCTGGACAGTCGTTTGTGTCGGGTAAGAAGCGACCCATTGCGTTGCGATAACTATACACCATGAAGTTCTTCGGAGCTGCAACGAATGAGTGAATAATGACATCTAATCTCTCGCAGTTTCAGTCAAAATTGCAACATAAACTTACCGATACACGTTTTGTTATCGGACGATATCGTGTAATGCGTAGGACAGGAACACTTGTGAGTCTTTGAAAGGCCAGATCCCACACTAGGCAGAGCTATACACAGATGACTACAGTCACCATTGTTATTGGCACAGGTATTCCAACCCGGTTGTCTGGATTTATGAACGACCAAGAGATCAGTAACAGCCTGCAGATTGTCATGGATTTTCGTGCGATTCATTCCGGTCGTTTTATTCACTCGCTCAATGTGACCAGTGTTCCAGTCAGTCCAGTAGATATAGTCCTGATACTGCATAGCACTGAACGGGTAGCCAATATTTTGGGTGATTATGGGTTTGCGCTTTTTTGTTATCAAATCATAGCTGTCGATCGATAAAGTGAAAAGATCTGCCCAGTACAGACGACGAGCTGCATGGTCGATCGTTAAACCGTTGGTACGACCAATGTCGGATATTACTAATTGTCTGTGCGATCCGTCCAACCACGACCGTTCGATACTACCTGTATTTGCCCACTCGGTCCAATAGAGGAATCTGTGAATAAATTTAAAAAAAATTAAAAGTAAGCTATACAATTTTCTCTTCTATGAACAACATGACGATGCAATGCATTACCCTCTTTCGGGATCTAGAGCGAGACATCTTGGCTCGATAAGATCTTGCCAAATTAGCACTCTACGGCTATAGCCCTCGAGATGGACAACCTCAATTCGACGTGTACCCGTGTCGCTCCAGTATACATTGTGAGCGATCCAATCGACTGCCAAACCATCAGGTGTCTCTAGACCAAGATCTACTACTTTTTCCACTTCCGATCCATTCATAAAGGCACGCGTTATACTTTTTAACTTAACGTCAGTCCAATAGATGCGATTGTCTGATATTTCAAAATCAAGAGCACTGCACGAGAAAAAGAAAACAACGCAAACTAAAATTTTAAAGAACTCGTTTCATCGTCTCAAGACAAGAAAAATCTTACCTTGCATCCTTAATTCCCGTAATAGGAATAATGTTATCGTTATTGGCATTATCGATGCTAGTACGACCTATCTTGTCTTTCCTAGTGAAAAGTAGAAAAGCTTCGGGCACCACGCAAGTCCGATTATCTTTAGTAAGCTCGTAGCCAATCTGACAGGCACACACGTATCTATCCATTTGCCTATTTAAGCACAGTTGGCTGCACCCGCCGTTGTTTTTAGCGCACGGATTTGTACCATTCGGTCTTCCACGATGCACAGCTTTAAGCCCCATAACGTTAGGGAACTGTTCGACTATCACTTCCCTCTCGCCACCAGAAAGCTTATGTGCACGATCAATGCTTCGACGCTGCCAGTCAGTCCAATATAAAAAGTCACCGAGTAAGCTGAAGCCGAACAAGTGAGGCAGGTTTTCCGTGATCACTTCTCCGCGATCGCTTCCATCCATGTTACAAACCTGTCGATATGTCGTTACAACGGGAATTAATCGCTTTGAGCCAATTAATTGTAAACGAAACACAATACCTCTTAGGCTCATGTATATTTGTTGACATACCTCGATTTTGTCGGTTTTAGCGTCGCACCAATACACCTTCCGCCTTTCCAGATCCAAAGCTACGCCGTTTGGCCAAACGACATCTTTCGTCACCAAAAGCGTTCTCTCGCTGCCGTCCAAGTTGCTACGTTCGATTTTTGGCCGTTTATCATCCCAATCGGTCCAGAACATCCAACCGAGTTCGAGCGCCAAGGCAATGGCTCTTGGCTCGCCCAGATCTTCGTGGATGAGAACTTTACGATTGGTGCCGTTGAGTCTAGCTACTTCGATGCGATCGGTACCGGTGTCGGTCCAATACAAGTTACGAGCAATCCAATCGACTGCTATACCATCCGCACTTTTAACTTCCGTTGTTATAATGTCTTCTTGCCCTGTGCCGTTTAGATACGCTCTGTGAATAATAAAAAAAATCAATTAATCCGTAATGACGAAAAACTTGGAAAAGAAAAGATTGAATTACTTATTGAAAACATACCTCCTAATGACGTGAGCCTGCTCGTCTGTCCAATACAACATCTCGTCGATGGGATCAAAGTCTATTGCGATAGCATGCTTGATGCCCGTCAACGGCAGCACGAAGTTCGTGTAATCCGGCGAGTCCAATGAAATCATGCTGATCTCGTTCCTTTGCACAATCAGCAGCAATTCTTGTGGACCTTTGGCGCAATTGTAATCGTCTAACAACTTGACGCCCGTGGGGCATGCACAGCTGTACCCCGGCGCCTTTGTACTCAACAAACACAAGTGCGAACAATTGCCATTGTTGTTCTTACACGGATTGTTGACTGGTGGAGGCTGACGCCTCGCGTCCCAAACTTCAATGTCACCGGGTATGAACTCGCCGTGCATGTACTCGCGCGACTTAGCATTTGATGAACGCAAGTCTAACGTATGAATACACCACGTTCGCCAGTCTGTCCAGAAGAGTCGTTGCTCGAAATACGTGATTGCGAATGGATATTCGAGAGTCTCGCTCACGATTTTTCGACGATTCCGTCCGTTATAGTCCATTACTGCGATGAACTTGTATCTGAAATTGAAATTAAATTCACGTGTGCTCGAGTTACTAATGAAGCTCGTTCTTTTTCTTTTTTTATGCAGAAAAATGCACAGCTCCGTAATAAACTTGACGAGCAGTGTCGTATAGCTTTTTTTAAAGATCTCATTTGCATTTTCAGTGATTTGCCGGATAACGAGCTTTAAATGAAAGTTGTAATTAAAAGTAATGCGATGCGAGCCCTTATTTTCCAGTTTTTACGTTAAAGGAAAAAGAATTTCACATTATGAATGCATAATGAAAGGTGCAAGTGGGCTATACTACAAGTTTGAAATCTAGAGTATATCTTTTCTAAACAATTATTAACGAAGCCGAGTTTTAATGATGTAACTATTTTATATTTCACGAAAGAGGACAGAGAATGTTAGGTTCTTTTTCTTTCAAGAAACTGATATCAATGCAAATATCGCACAATCTCGAGATCGATCTAGAAATCTCCAGCAAGGTCAATAAAAAAAGAGCACTATTACGTACCTGCCGTCGACCCAATAAACCAACTCGTTCTCATAATCCACAGTCAAGCCATTGGGCCAGAAAATGTCATCGGATACAATGACTTTCCTGGTGGTGGGATCGCCGTTCATCGCAGCTCTCTCGATTTTCGGCACGTCGCCCCAGTCGGTCCAGAACATTATGGCTCGCATGGGCACGAGAGCAATCGCTCGCGGTTGATAAATATCAACCCAGAACAGGACTTTACGATGCCGTCCATCGATGCTCGTCACCTCGATCCGGTTTTTCTCACCATCCGTCCAGTACAGCTTGCCCGTATACCAGTCGCACGCTAGGCCATCCGGTGAGATTAAACTTGAATTTACCACTGTTATAGGATCCTGGACAAAGAAGCGTGTCGATGGTTTCACTACGATGAGGCTTTGGCGATTGTCATTCTGCGGCTCTACGTTCTAAGCTTTATTATTCATTGACTTGAAGAACGTTAGGTTTAGTAACGAGTCAATTTCCTTGAAAGAAAATTCTGATTTGTATACAGAACAATAGATTACGACGATCTCGACGAACGAAAGAGAATCTAGCGAGAATTTCCGGAGGTCCGCAAAAAAAAAATAATAATAATAAAAAAATAGCCACGTAGCCGTAAAAAACTGAGGCCGGTGACGCAAATCAATTTGCATAAGCATTAGTCGGAGCTATCGATAAACATGACACAACTGGTAGGCAAAATTAGACAAGATCAAAGCAAATGCTAAGGCCTACGGGAAAGCAGCAGCTGGGCGAGTTGGTCTGCGTCGTAGTCGCTGGCGTACGAACCTGGGTGTAAGTGCCGTTGGTGTGCACGCACTGTATGAGCTCGAGCCCCGGATCCGACCAGCAGACCAGTCCTCTCTCGTGGTAGAAGTCGAGCGTAACACCCTCGGACAGGTCCTTGACGATGATGGCGACGAACTTGTTGGTCCTCGACACGTTCGCCACGCGTATGTCCTTGTTGGTGGCGAACAGCAACATCGGCGAGCCTGCGACACGGGTGGAAATTCAGTTTAGCCGCGCTGTTTGCTCGGCGCGCAACAGCGCCGCGAGCCCCGTCGCTCGTCGTCGCGCACTTATTATTCCCTTTGAGGTGTGCGCTATTTTCCCGCGTATCTTTTCGACGAGGACGCGGTGGTGGGTTTTATTCCGTGGAGGAGCGTGCTTTTCAAGATGCTCTCTCTCTCTCTCTCTCTCTCTCTCTCTCTCTCTCTCTCTCTCTCTCTCTCTCTCTCTCTCTCTCTCTCTCTCTCTCTCTCTCTCTCTCTCTCTCTCTCACTCTCTCCTGGGAGCTAATGGCGCGTGATGACGGTGCGTGTAGGGGAGCGCGTGGTAATTGCTGTTTACGACGCCTACGAGGATTCTCGTGGTTTATTAAGCAGAGAGGCCGCCTGACTGCTTGTTGCCCTCTCTCTTTAAATGCCGATCGAGCGTTTCGCCGCCGCAGCGACATCGCCAAACGCATCCCGCGGGAGAACGAGTTATCGATCATCCGAGACAATCGCCTTCCGAGTACGTGGATTCTATTGACACGGAGCGCGCGCTTTTCATCTATTATTCATTTTTCTCGTCGCGACCCCACTGAAATTCCACCGAAGTAGCGTTATCAGTTCGATTACGCGCGCGCGTCGCTAATGAAAAACTCGAACGAACGAAGCAGCATCTCGTGCCAGAGCTAAAGCGACGCTAAGCGATTGGCGAGGAGAGAGAGAGAGAGAGAGAGAGAGAGAAAAGACGAGAGGAGGGGCCTCGTCAACGTTTTCCTCGATCTCGGCCGAGATCAAAGAGTCGTGAAAGTGGCTCGATTCCGAAGAACATAGAGAAGATTACTCGCCTCGTTAACACGCGCGCGCATCTCGGCGTCATACGCGCCGAGATCGATCGTCGGTATGCCCGAGCAAATAGCCGCAGTTTCAATACGAACGTGCCCGAATGAAAATTGCGCCTGGGCGAAATCAAAGGTGCAGCGCGCCGACGACGGAATAATAGAAGCCGGAGGGAGATTACAGGTGCTGGAAGGACGCGCGCGCGAGGGCAGAGCGAAAATCCGAAAAGGCTACGCCACTGCTCGCGCGTCGCTCGTTGCATATACATGCGCGCGCGCGCGCGTGCACGCACACACACACACACACACATCCTGCGCCTTGCCGCGCGCCTGGTTAGCCTCGTCTCTCTCTCTCTCTCCTCCCTACGTTTCTTCGCTTGTTAGCGCCCGCTAACCTACGCCGCCGCCGCGCTGCTGCTTCTCTCCTTTCCATCTCCGCGAGCTCGCTGTTGCTGCTGCTGCTGCTGCTGCCGCAGTTGCCGCGCATCCGCGATTCTTTTTTTGACGGAGCCGGACCGGGCCGAGTAGTCGGATCTTCGTCCGTCGCTGCGCGTGCTGCCCGTCAGATTGACAACAACGAAATTGCCCCGGTGACTTTTCACCATTATCTTTGTTTTGACGAGAGCGCGACACGAATACTCGACACACGAAAGTCAAGACGCCTGTGTTTACTCTGTTCCAGCATCCTACTGTCTATGTCTTTGAAAACCCTTCGAAAAACAAAAAAAATCTCGAGGGACTCGTAGACTCTCTTGCATTTCGTTAACACTTGAGGAAAAACGAGAATAAGTCAAGACTTGCATAATTAAAAAAAATCTGAGAGAGAGAGAGAGGGAGGAAGAAGGAAAAGAAAAAGGGCTTGGGCGAGGAGGAGAGAGTAAAAATGAATTCGTTAATTTCGTCATTTCCCCGTTCGCAGACTGCCTCCGCACACATTTTATCCAACGCAGCAGCAGCGGCACATCTCGTTGGCGAACGAGATGGAGGGCGGGAGAAGAGAGAGAAAGAGAGAGAGAGAGAGAGAGAGAGAGAGAGAGAGGAAAAAAAACCGCAGACGATAGGCCGGCTTTTCGATTCCACTGCTCTTTTGTGCAACTTTGCGCGCGCACGCATAGAAACTTTTCTCCGGTTAAGCAGGACCAAATATGACAGAGCAGACGCATCGCTCGGGCCAATTGTGCAATTTCCAGGTCGACGAGAATCGCTCGTTAATGCGGAGCAGCAACCTCCTCCGCCTCTCGAAACTTTCAATTAAGCGTCTCTCCCGGCACACCACCTGGCAAAAGAGACTCGCAGCGTTGAAAAAAAAACGCAATAACAGCGCCAGCGCCAGTCTCTTCCTCTCGACCCTCTTTTTTTCTAAAAAAAATCCTCGCGCGCGCGAGGCACTTGTACCAGCGAGGAGAGATGTGTTCTCTCTCTCTCTCTTTCTCTCTCTCTCTCTCTCTCTCTCTCTCTTGCATACACCTTATGCGCTTGGCGCTCGTTCATTTGCGCGATTCGTTGCAAATTACCGCGAGGCTTGCGCGAAATCTCGCCTGGCCCCTCCTTCACCGGCCGGCGAGAAAAGAAAGCGCGGCGTCTCTGTTGGATTGCGCGGCGGTGGCGTCGTTGTCGTTGTCGTCGTCGTCGGGAAAACTTCAAAGGCGACCCCGTTGTCTTTGACCCTTGCGCGGAGAATCGCGCCGGCGGCCTTGAACGACGCTGCCACGTAGAGTTTTTCGAAAGGGCTCCTCCCTCCATTTGACTTTTCGCTCGGCTCCGCGGTAGGTGACAAAGTGTGTGCTCGAAAGAAAGACAAACGCGCAACGCGCGGTTGACTTACTACGCTAAATACCCTCACGAGAGCTGATAACGCTGACTGTACACACAAAGTAGGCGCGAGCGAGATGTGCGACTTTTTACACGCTTGCCGACCGACTCTGCTTCGTTTCGAGGGGATTTTCGGTGAGCTCTATACGCGCGCATTTACGCCACTCTTTTGTCTTGCTAATCGCGGATGTTTGCGTTTGTCAAAAGATGAGATGATATTAAGATAAGTTGTACGATATAAATGACAATTTCTAAGGAAAACTTCATTTTCGTAAATTTCAATTGTGAAAACTGTTGAACCATTAGTCAAGTTCTCACCAGCAAAAATCATGCTGCGTAACACTATCGTTAGTTTTTCTCTCTTTTATCAGAGATTACATAAGATACAAGCTTCAATATTCACAAGCAATTGAAATTCGACTTTCAAAAAATTACGACGATGAATATAATCGCGATAATTTAGCTGTGTTACAGAAAAAGCGAAGATGAAACGTACCGGGAACCCCGCACCAGTTAAATATTTAATATATTTTTAATTTAGCGTCAGTAACTGGTTGAGATCAATGAGAATTGATGAAAATTAAAAGAATACCAGAAGGGACAGAAGACGTTGAAAATCATGAAAAATTATGAAATAGTCGATTCACATGTGTCGTATGATTTTATTTGGTCGCGAGACTGCCAATGATTTCTGCTACGTTCATTTGTGGTTTCAAAAATTTTTCTAAACAGCTGAGAATGTAAAAATTAAGAGAAAAACAAATTTGACCTAGACAGTTCTTGGAAAACCAAAGAATTTCAATGACTTCCTGGTCGAAGCACACCGGCGACGCAAGACTTTCGCCTGTCAATCGACTCCAACTTAGGAGCCATTGACAGCGTAAGGCTCGCGAGCCGGTGCGTGTCTAGCTGAAAAGCCATGGAAATTACTGAGTTCTTTGAGGCTTAAAAAACGGGTAGAGGCTTTTTTTGTTGCATACGTATCCGAGTATGTATGCAAATCTATTATACTGAAATTACAAATGACAGAGATGAGTGAGAGTCGAAGAGTCGATACAAGTACAAAAATAATGTTACTCCTTGCACAATCGCCGGAAAATCCATTGAAGTTTTCAATTTCCCAAGCTCGGGCGGGGACCGTTATAGTTTATTATCATTAAATATATATTCAGCTACTTTTGAAAAATTATTTTGTTACTGCAAAAAGTGGCAGAAAAAAAGTAGGAGTAGATCGAAACGCCGAAGCCTCACCTCGTACTACTTTATGCTAGGGTCGGAAAATTCGTGGAATTTTACAATTTTAATTTACAATACAAAAATATTCTATTAACAATAAAAGTGGCAGAAGAATGTTAGAGGCGATTAAAATTTAAAATTTACGTATCATCGCTCGATTGTTCGGGGAAATTTGAAAATTACTTACTTTTCTAAGGGTCATCGAGGTCAGCTAGGTTCTTTTATTGCTAACTATATACTGCTATGTAGAGCAAATTATTTTATTAAAGATAAAGTTGGCAGAAAAAAGTTGGAGTCGATTGAAAGACGAAAGTCTTATGACGACGCGTGCTTCGGCCGGGAAATTGTGGTAATTCAGTGGTTTCCTGAGGTCTAGCGGAGTCGAATTTGCTTTCACACCTCAGCTGTCTAGAAAAAAATTTGAAACCAAATATAAAAACGGCAGAGAGGGCAGTTCCGCGAACAACGAAAATCATACGACACGGATGAATTAAGTACTTGATAATATTTCACGATTTTCCCCGTTTTCTATCCTTTATAGCGCTGTTTTAATTTCCGTTCTCTCTCATTAATCTCAACCAGTTACTGATGGTAAATTAAAAATTTTTAAGTACGGGGCCCCAGGTACGTTTTGTCCCTGCTTTTCCAATAACGCGGCTAGCTTCATCGTCATAAAAAAGGAGTATCTTAGACATTTAAATTTCATTTATAATCAAGCTGAACGAGTAAATAAAATATACAATATCTTATAGAAAGTTTTGATAAGTGAATAATAGTCGTTTGTAAATCATTCAAGAGTCTCAAAATAACCGAGCGAATGTGAAAATTTCTCGTGATAGTGTAAAAACCCCACGAAATACATACTAAATTATGCATATTTATTATACTAAATACAAAATTCCTTGCAATTACTCCATATCAACCAACATCTCAATCGAAAACATTCTAAAACGATCTTCTTGGAGGATCGTCAAGCACGAACAAAAAAAAAAAAAGAAAAAAAGAAAGAAAAAAAGAAAGAAAAAAAGAAAGAAAGAGAAAAAAACAAGTATCGTGGGTGCAAGAAAAAAAAGGCTGGTTATTATTGCGGAACAAAGCTCTGTGTCTGGTCCGAAA